AAAGTGGAAAAGTGTCCCGTGGTCTGACAAATCAAAATTTTAAATTCTTTTTGGAAATCATGGACACTGCATCCTCCAGTAACCTAAGCTGTTATCAGCTAGCATTCATGATGGTATCGGGGTGCACACATTCTGCATATATTACAACAGCATGGCTCTATAGTAAAAGTTAGCGAGCTAAACTGGCCTGCCTGCAGTCCGAACCTGTCACCTGTTGAAAACATTTGGCGCATTATGAAGCGAAAAAAACAAAGGAGACCCTGAACTTTTGCGCACTTGAAATCCTATTTCATGCAAGAAAGAGAAAACAATTCACTTTCAAAACTACAGCAATTGGACTCCTCAGTTCCCAAACACTTACAGTGTTGGTAAAAGAAGAGATGATGCAACACAGTGGTAAACATGCCCCTGTCCCAAATGTTTTGGAACATGTTTCTGGCATCAAATTCAAAATGGGCATATTTTCAAAAAACAATACAATTTCTCAGTTTCATTTGATATTTACAATACTATTTTCAATTAAATATAGGGTTTACATGACTTGCATATCATTGTATTCTATTTTTATTTAGATTTAGCAGTGTCATATACAACTTATTTAGCACATATAAATATACACACACACTATATATATATATATATATATATAAATATAATGTGTGATATATATATATATATATCGAATCATCTAAATACATATGCATCATCTACATCAGTGCTATGTTAATAGGTACAGTACTGAAGGCCAGATGGCTCTCTCGTGCGATGCTTGTGTCTGATCCGTTCTAGCTCACCCCCGCTGGTAACCTGCAGCAGACTCCAGGCAGATGAGCCTCCACTCTCACTGTCTGTTGCTGTGGAGATCAGCATGGCAACTGCCGTTCCTGCTAGCAAGCGGGTGTCCCTGTTGGAAGTCTGAGAAACATAATCTAGAATAATTCAACATAACATATCCAAAACTACATACATGGATTTGCATGGAACTTATCAAGAAATAAAAACCTTTACTGTATCATGGCTATATACGAAAAGGTAAAAGCCTTGTGTTGGTGGAGGCCTTAATCAGCTAGAGGGTGTCTGTTTTTTGAACTCCTATTTATAGAGCATATTTTAAGAAATACACACAAATACATTTATTTATAAGAAGTCATTCTTGTAAATTACAATCACAAAACACATGTACAATATTTTTGGTAAGGATGGACCGATATAGAATTTCTGTGCTGATGACAATAACAAATAATTAACCCCTTGCTGTAGCTGATATTGAAACAAGTAGCTAATCATTTTATTTTTACAATAATTATACTGCCCAGATGCATAAAGCTATTGCTTAGAAATCAGACCTCCTTCATGAAGCTTTTCAGTTCTTTTCTAGCAAATAACGGCCACAGAGGCAAATTAAAAAAATGAGGCAGAAATCAATTAATGTTGTTTACTAAATGGTTCAAATTATGGCGGATGATACAACAAATTATCATTGAAATAGGCTGCCTCTGATTGGATGTGTACAGATCTTTTGGAGGGGGCTGTGTAAACTAACCTCTCCTTTAAGCAGCCAGCTAAAATACAAATTTCAAGAGCACCATTCACTATTGTACAAAATAAAAATAATAAAACACTAATAGCTACTTACATCAGAACTGCAAATAGAAATCTGAGAATCATCAGCATTTCCTGAATGGCTATAAAGGTTACTTAATTTTGTTATAATTTAAAACTGAATAAATATATATTTAATTCCCTTAAAACCTTCTTATAGTGATGCAGATTTGTTGTGACAATAGGCATTACTGCTTCACACATTTTATGCGTAACACTGGGAGTGAGAATAGTCATCTGTACATGTGGATGTTTTGTAATTGGCTGTTTAGCTGAATGGTTAAGTTATTCGCTCTTCTTGTGAGAGATCAGGATACAAGCTGATGAGTTTATCATGGAAACTCACATCATGATAACAATAAAAATAACGTTTATCATGCTGCCCTAGTTTAAATGATTGAAAAAAATTACCCTATAAAGGCAAGTTCAAATTCAGTCACTTTCACATCCTTTAACATGCAAGAAACAAGGCTTGCTTGATTGACAGAAACACTGGACATTCACATAGGTGGGACTTTCTACTGACAAATTTCAGAGTGGAATCTGATTGGAAGTGATGGGAGCCATCCCACCCAAGCTGATACCAGTCTATTAAGTTTCAAAGTTAAAATTTCCTGCCACAAGACGACTAATGGCTTGTAATTATCATATCAAATTCCAGTATAGGGCCGTTGACAGTAAATCAATTTTATCATTTACTAACAAGTAATATATTGGCTACCAATATAAGGTCCACCCAAAATGTCCAGAAACACAGCCCTGGCTGAGATAACTAACCTCCCCTAAGATGATATTCACTAGGAATTCCAGGATTTTCAACATAGATGGATTTCCTCTCTGTTCCCCAAACACTAGGGGTGCTACTTGCTGAGGTAGCAGCTGGAACACCTGTAGACACACCTGGAGACAGCCCAATAGACAGATGTGACAACAAAAACTGCCACTCACAATGAAACAATCAAATAATTTCAAATAGACTTCAGTATCTGACCTTAACAGTCTGATAACACAGTAGTCCGTTTCTTACTGCTTCGTCTTTCATAACGACAGGCAGTAACTCTGTGACTTTACTCAACAGGGACGTGCAAGCTTGTCTTAAAACTTCTCGCCCAGTCGTGCTGTCCTCCAGGAACACACAGACTGTTAAAAGAGACATAAACAAATTCTCCTGAATTTGTTCAGAGCTGTCAAGGAGCGCACACTTCAATACCAGTATACAAAATAACTAACGCTCACCTATCTGGAGGTCCTTTAATGACAGCACCTGCAAATAAAGAGCTACTGCATCATAATTCTATCATATATACACAACTCCATCTGCAAAATGACACTTGAATACATCTTTCCTCACCTGCTCCTGGAACAGCAATCCGTGAAGACATTGTTGGACCTCTCCAGAAACCAGAGGTGATCAAACTGAGCCAAGTGCTGCAGCATCTGTAAAAGAAACCAACCAAATTATGTAACTGTCAGTCAAGAAAGGGGCTATACAGCCAAGATATACAAACTCTGGATCAGTATTTTGCCTCTTTTCTGCTCCTCATTCAACTCTAGCAGTATACTATTAGCTAATGGCACACAAGAACAGTGAGGTGCAGATGGACTACAAGACTGGGGCTGGGAAACACTGATGTAATATGGAAAGGACAGTACAGCGTTCTACTGTCATTGGTACAGACTACAGCATACAAACTCATTATCCCAGCAGCATTATCCCACCTGCATTTTATTCATGAGCTAAAGGTCTTGAGCTGAATCAGGGGTCTGAATAGTGCCACTACATAGGAGAAAAAGTTCCAACAGGAATTTAAATCATCCCAAAGGAATCCTACACATCTTCTGGAACCCAGACATTCCTATTGGACACTTAAATAGAAAATCCTATAGGATTCCTGTAGGTATGTAGTCTGTCCTGCTTGGCAATTGCACAATCCCAAATGGTCACAGACTTTTTAAGTGAGGCTTCTACATCCAAATCCAGCATTATATACCGATCAGCCACAACAATAAAACCACCTCCTTGTTTCTACACTCTATTTTATCAGATCCACTTACAATATTTGCAATTATAGACTATAGTTCATCTGTTTCTCTGCATACTTTGTTAGCCCCCTTTTACCCTCTTATCTTCAATGGTCAGGACCCCCACAGGACCACCACAGATTCTGTGGTGATTCTCAGCACTGCAGTGACACTGGCATGGTGGTGGTGTGTTAGTGTGTGTTGCGCTGGTACAAGTGGATCAGACATAGCAGTGCTGCTAGAGTTTAGAATTAGAGTGTCCACTCACTGTCCACTCTATTAGACACACCTACCTTGTTGATTCACCTTGTAGATGTAATGTCAAAGACAGCAGCTCATCTGTTGCTGCACAGTGCGTATTGGTCATCATCTAGTGCTTCATCAGTTGTCACAGGAAACTGACGGCTGGATATTTTTGGTTGGTGGACTATTCTCAGCCCAGCAGTGACACTGAGGGGTTTAAAAGCTCCAGCAGCACTGCTGTGTCTGATCCACTCATACCAGCACAACTAACACGCCACCACCACGTCAGGGTCACTGCAGTGCTGAGAATGATCCACCACCCAAATAACACCTGCCCTGTGGTGGTCCTGACCATTGAAGAACAGGGGAAAAAAGGGGCTAACAAAGTATACAGAGAAACAGATGGACTACAGTCTGTAAATTGTAGAACTACAAAGTGCACCTATATAGTAAGTGGACCTGATAAAATGGACACAGTGTAGAAACAAGGAGGTGGTTTTAATGTTTTGGCTGATCGGTTTATGTCCAATAGGGTGGCATTTGGAAGGTGTCCACAAGCCAAACACGTCCAGGAAGAAAACAGACAGCTTGCCTGGTCTATTTTCCGACAGGATGAAGATGTGCTGACCGCCTCCAGCTGTAGAGCCAGTAGGAGCTGGACTAAGTGGCGATGATGCTGATGCTGTAAAGACTGCATGACAGCAGCTGGGATTTTCCTCAGCATTTGACAGGCTTCTTCCAAAGAGCGCTCCTTACTTCTCCTCACCGTGGTCCTGTCAGAAAAACGGGCACAACATCATATACTTTACATGTGACCAAATAACAGTTATAGCTGAGAAACTAAAACACTCTTCAGTGTCCATGTGCGGTGACCAACCTAGCACTGTCTGTTAGCTTCTTTATGAAAACAGCCAGCGTGTCTTTGACAGCCGGCGCTACACTGTCCTCTGAAATGAACGAAGCAAGAAGTGCTTCAAACTGACTCTCGGCCGAACGTGTAGAAACCATAGTGGCAAGTTTTATCACCACTTTATCACATACAGGACTCCACGTTAACACCTCCTTCACCCTGCAGTAGTAATACAGCACAGTATGTATGTTCACTGTCGCTAGCGCCCCTTACCGTTCTGGAGGTCCTCGCCTATTTGAGCTGACAGTTCATTGTTAGCAAGCAGGCTAAAAAGTCACATTCTGTAAGGTTAGCATTATTCTGTATGGATAAGTGACACTGGAATAGCATATAGCCTAATGTTTAGTCCTTTTTTCAGCAGCCAAATAAAGCGTTAATTTAATGTTAGCTTGCGAGCTAACATACTGCTCTAGGTTAGACAGCTAACGTTGCCTAGGTAACTGAGCTAGATAGCTAACTAGCTAACATTAGCTAGTATAATATGTATCTTTTGTACACAATCCTTGCCGCACTTTTCTCCTTCTTAGTACTAAAATGGATGAAAAGACGTAACTACTGTATGGACGTGAAACGACTGGATGGAAAAACAGTTCTTATAACCGGTGAGTGAGTCATTTCCCCCTGCTAACGTTTAACGTTTGTTAGCTGCAGCTAGCTGGTTAGCTACGTTCCTGGCAACGCAGAAATGTTTCAGGTTCTTCATGTTGTCTCCTTTTATTGTCCCCACATCAGACTGATTTCTGAATATTTCACTCCTCGAGATGTAAACAGTCATTCAGAGTGGTTTGGTGTGAAGTGTTTCATTGTATGCAAACTTACAGACTCTTCACAGCGGTGGTGATGGGAACCAGGCGTCATAATGTTTACAACACAAATATAACCATTTCACATACTATCCAAAAGCACCACTGAACCTTCATCTGTCTTCTGAGTTTTTATATGTAACGTTGATGATGGTAAAATAGTAAAATCTGGAAAAAAAGTTTTCTTTGGAGACTATTTTGTCTTACAACACAAGCATGTACCCCTCTGACATGACTGGATTGGAATAAATGGATTAAATGACATTTTAAGCCAGAAGTTGTTTCACACAACCTTCATAAAACAGTGTGTCAGACATCAGGCAGCTTACATCTAACAGTTTCATGTTATAACTTTATGTAAGAGAGCTTTCAGAGGCATTAAACTCTTTAGATGTCTGGTTCCTATACCAGCGCTGTGAACAATTATGGCTTGGCAAGTTTCTCTAGAACAGAGCATTTCACATCAAACCACTTTGATTGACTTTGTTTACATCTCAACCACTTAATTGTGTAGAATTTTTGAAAAATTGGTGGAGTTCCCTTTTAAGTGAAAAAAGTGAACCTTTTCACCATTTACTCATTAATTTGTGGATTTTTGGACCTGGTTATCTATCTAGTTTTTTTTATTAAGACATGCTGTGGCACAGGCTTACAAAGTTTCTAACCGCACATTGGTTCCCATTTGTTGGTTGGGTTGTTGCAGGGGTGCTCCATCATTCCTCTGGGTATTAATCATGCAGAGTTCAGTTCCAACCCTGATCTAACACCTAATCAAAGTGGCCAAGAACATGTTAACTTAGGGTGGCTTTGGAGGGTTTAGATCTCAGAGAGTAGTGTTGGGCAGGCCTGGGTTGAATATCACCCTGCATTATTATGACTCTACAGAAGGAGGCCAGCAGGCTTGTCTGTCATATAGGGATGCCCTGTATTGACTTTTTCCTTCATGTCTCTCAGGTGGAAACTCTGGCATTGGCAAAGAGACGGCCGTGGCTTTGGCTTTGCGAGGAGCCAGAGTCATCATCGCTTGTAGGGACGAGGACCGAGCAAGAAAGGCTGTGAGGGAGATCAAGGCAAGGAGCCACAACATGAACGTCCTGTACATGGAAGTGGACCTTGCCAACATGAAATCCATACGAGAATTCAGCAAAACCTTCCTACAGAAAGAGAAGAGGCTGGATATTCTCATCAATAATGCAGGTAAGTGTGATGGACAGCTCACAAAGCCTTCAGCTGTAATTGCAGAGACTTGCTTCTAGGGCTACACAATATGTTGTGTTCATTGTTACTGCAATATTGGCTTTTGCAGTACTGATGTCGCAGAAGGCTACATGTAAATGAGCTTCTAACCATTAACGAAATGTTTTGTTGTTACGTAATAATTTGCGCAAGACAGTAATTGTCATCGTCTCTGTAATAAATCAAATACCATTCGCCTTTGAGAAGTAATAAATAATAAATAACGTTTGACATGTAAAGTTAAATTTCTCTGTGAAGAATCCACCACATACAGTGATAATGGCAGAGGTTGCATGTCATGTTCTGTTCTGTTCTGTTCCTGAACTGTCCAGGCGTTCCCAGTGTCCTGGACTGGACCGACGACAATTTCTCCATGTGTTTTGGGGTGAACCACCTGGGACATTTCCTCCTCACCAACCTGCTGCTGCCGCGGCTGAAGGAGAGCTCCCCCAGTCGAGTGATCGCGCTTACCTGTTCCAACTACAAGTACCAAAGATTGGACTTCCAGGACCTGAACTACAACCTGTTCCCTTTCTTCACCTACTGCCGCAGCAAACTCGCCAACATTTACTTCACGCAGGAGCTCGCACGCATGATGGAGGGAAAGGGAGTGACAGCATATGCGGTGCATCCTGGTGAGATTTTTTTTAAACCAGATTGTAGCCCTTTTCATATGTGGTCCTACCTCATATGTATAACCATCATATGTGTAATACAAGGCCATGTGATCATAATCATAAAAAAGTCTTTTTTCTATTGCATTTTACTGCACAAATGCCTTTCGCTACCAGGTCAGGAGTGGCTTTTACTTAAAAAAAAAGTGTGTTCATGGAATAAGCAATGAGGCTTATAACATGAACTAGACAAAGCGTCTACTGAAGCACAGCAGCCATACATCTGTCTCATGCTTTCTGTGTAATAAGTAATTTAAAAAAAACTTTAAAAAGTCATCCTTTGCAGCTGCCACTGTGATTAGGGCTATCAAAAGTACTTGATTACATTTTTCTTTCTTGATGAATCAGCAATGATTAGTTTGCAGTTTGAAATAATCGTATTGCTCTCTTGTAGAAAGAAACATCCTGATGGACACTCATTTATATGCTATTTTTTACCGGGCTTTTTTGTAAGGCCTTCTTAGTTCTTTTTTCCTTGTATTTTGCAGTCTGTGAAAGTTTACTGTAATTTTATGGTTTGATTACTCAATAATTGTCAAACTAGTCTGTAGATTACTGGAGTATTAATAAAATCAGCAGCACAGCCCAACTGTGATTTTCAGCCAAAGGTGCCACCAGGAGCACTTTTTCAAATGACAGACAGTAATCAGTGTGCCAGTGTTGGCTCTTACCTCTCCTCTGATCTGTCCAGGTTATGTCCAGAGCAACTGGACCTGCCACTACTCGTTCCTGTTCCAGCTGCTGATGAAGGTCATCATGTTCATGTTCTTTGTGTCATGTGAAGCGGGGGCGCAGACAGTCGTCCACTGCGCAGTAGCAGACGAGGTCATCGCTAACAACGGAGGCTACTTCTGTGACTGCAAACCAGCCAAGTTACAAGCTTTCGCTAAGGACGCTGGTGTGGCCAAAAAGCTGTGGGAGGCTAGCGAGAGACTAGTTAAACTCGCCTGAGAGCTGGCTGCTTATTTGTGACTGTTTTTATGTTATTTATGGATGATGTGATGTTTCTTTTTGACACTGGTTTTCTTTTTAATTTCCATTGATTTATTTTTTAAGTGTTCAGCTACTGCTGTAATGATCCGGATGAGAAGATCCAGGCTTATTTTGGTGTCTCTTGCTGGAATAAATAGTCCATTTTATGAGACAGTATTTAAAGTCAAAGTGAACTGGAAATCTTAGTAACTTTCTCTTCTGTCGCATGATGTCTTTCTGAGTAAAACACAGTATCGGGGGGTCTCTGAGCTAGCTGGGAGTTTTGCCTTATGATAGTCTAGGGGTGGAGGGAAGCGGAGGTGAAACACAATATTGTTGGTTAATATTATTTTTCCCCACCTGCTGGTGCACAGTGATGTAATCAAAAACCAGAATACGTTTTCCAGGTGCGTGAAAAGTCACCATGTTAAAAATATACTGAAAAATAGATAATATTAATATGACCAGGGACCCAAACAAACAATGTTAAAAAAAAAGGTACATTTTTTTGTCAGTTTGACTTTAAAGGCTTGTTTTGCTGATTACATAACATTAATACATCTTGGCTGGAGAAACAAACTACACTGAAAGAAAGATTTGCCTGATCCTTCAGTATTTAAATCTTCATTTTTATTTAGAACACTTGAACACATTTCCTTAAGTCAGGTAACACATAGAGCAGGTTCGAGAACAGAGCAACAATAATAGTAAGAATAATCAGAGAAATTAAATAGATTAATATCTTATACAGAAACCCAAAACTGACAAGAGGGCTACTGTGAAGACTTCAACTTCAGAGAAACTACCCAGTGAGGTGAAACGGAAGAACAGCTGGGGGGGGGGATCAGGAATAGAGTGAAAACAATACGGTACTAAAAACAAAGTTGAGCTCTGTGTTGTCAGTGCAGGAAATATTACTAGTGTAATTCACATCTTTCTGAAGCGTGCTCGTGTTTAACTTATTATGTGGTGTGCGGTAACTTATACGGTTTATGGTACATTTACACTTGAGGTGGGATCACGTCCCGACGCATTCAGATCAAGTGTCTCAGAGTCGCCACAAACGAATAAAGAGCAAGTCCATACTCTTTAGGCAGACGTGTGTTAAACAGCACTGGCAAAAGCACAACCACTAATTACTTCACTGTCTATTGATGGGAATAATTCTATTACTCCAGCTGAATGCGGATGGAATATTCAGCGATTCGTGCACTCCTGTTGTAACTCTACTGTAATACTACAGCATTTGTGATGTAGAAAAGTCTCAAGACGTGTTCGCATCCTCTTCCTTCATAAATGTCAGCAACCCTGCATTGACAACAACGAGCTTGAATACAAAAGCATGCCATTGAAATATCACCACCAATTTTCATAATCTTTATCTCCACAACGTCATTATAGCTTTCATTTAAATAATCTGCATCTTTATCATCTTGAGACAAAAATAGTTTATGCACTTACAAAGCTTGGAAAATAGATAAGAGAAATAGGTTTAGTTAACCAGCATTCAATAGAAAATGAAAATGACCAAAAAAAGAAAAAAAGAAGTTTTAACACCAAACTTTTGTGTTTGAGTGACTCATGCAAAGAAATTCCGGCTAAAATGCTAGTAAACTGCCGCTTTAATACTGTGTGTCCTGTTTAATAGTAATAATGTGCATCCTCACTTTTTTACATGATTATTTTCAATGCTAAACACACAAAGAAGAACATTAGTACATTTTTACATGCTGTTTTTGTTTTATTTTTTTGTCTTTTTTTTGTTTTGTTTTTTTTTGGATTTTGTCATTACATGTTCAGGGAGTTGGAGTGACGGGGGTGTTTTCAGCACACAAACATATGTAACAGTCTCATATCACTTTCCGTCAAGACGAGACAAGATGAAGCATCCGGAGTTGGACACGAGGGGATCCACAACAAAGAATCAACTCTGAAAGTACACCCAAGTCAAAAGCACAACACTAGAGCAAAAACAGATACCCAGGTGGTTTTTGCCTTGTGGGGTCGCTCCAGTTGACAGATGGATTGTTTGTAAGCTTTTACGAATCATTTCAGCTTTGTAAAAGGGGCTTTGGGACATGTAAACGTCTACCAGAGCTGTAATGTCAATCAAAATCTATCAAAATCTATTCAACTAAAGCCTGATACCTTCACTACGCTTTAGAAGAGTTCAAGAGTAAAATGAGCTTGTGAGTGTAAAGAAAAAAAAAAAGTACAATAGACATGAAGTTGTCAAAGAAGAAGAATGTCAAAAAAAAGTGAGATAAAATACTTAAATAAATAAATAAATAAATATGACCTGAGGACACAAACAATGAATGAGCCTCTGAAATGGCCTTGTTTGCCCCCCCTGGATCATACCAGCCAAGGTCAAACGGTTATTCTGTTCACCTGACCATTAGGCTTCTCTCAGACTTGAGTCCCTCACGCTTGCTGGCAGCTCCAAAGCCGACCAAACACCAGCTGTTCTGAGTGCGATATGTTGTGTTACATGTCCATCTTCTTAAGTACACTTCATAAACGAAACTTTCCAATTGTCCTCGCATTACAAAAAGCTTCTCAACGCCGCCGACGCTACTAAAAAACCTCCCCTGACTCTGTGCTCATTTATCAAAAAACAAGATACCTTACAGGCAGCCTAACCACAGGGTATACCTCCATGTCCAGGGTAGCAATATGCTTTCAAGTACAAACGATCTCCTTCAAAGAACCTTAAAACCTAAAAACAAACACAATGTATATATCTATATATGTGTCTCCTCTGAAAACAAAATATCGAAAAGTAGTACTGATAATATCAAACAACTTATAAATGATATTAAAACACAAAAACACTTCGCCGCCTGCAATTCTGTCAAATTAGCCCTACTTAGATCTTCAGTCAGCCTCGGCCACCTCAGAGATGTGTGCTACATGCTTCCTCCTTATTTAAGTTGTAGCCTTGCATTAGCCTTTTGCATCATCACATTGAAGAACAGTATTAGCCTCCTTCAAAAGTTATATGAGGAACCCACTAATAGGTGCTGTCTGGACGTGCATGTCCTCTCCACAAGCAGGAACCGCTCCCGCTAGAATATGTAGCACCTTTAGCAGGATTATGGCTTATAGTTAAGAGCTGGGCTGATAAGCTACAGATGTATACAGAAACTGTCCTTTCCAGGCTCAGCTGACGTGTTCAATTATACGGCATAATACTGATATCACAATCACGATGCTGCTGAGATCAGGCTAAAATAAGCAACGATATGTGACCACAACAGATGGATTTTATTCTGTTTGTGCCCTACAAAAAAAATCCCAGCAGAACGGCTGATTTGGAAAACATCTTAGTATCTGCACTCTCTTTTCACGTTGAGTGAAAGAAGGAAAAAAAAAGGGCACAAATGAAGACTGGAAGACCCCAAACATATCGCTGTCTTTAAAATCACTCCGTCCCCTACACACACGCACACAGACGAACCTGGACCGTCACTTCTGGACTGTGAGCTTTAAATCGTCAATCACATGGAGAAGCCTATGCAAAAAAACACTGTGCTTCAACTACCTCCCCTCCTTCGTTACTATAGAAACAGCCACTGTGAATACACCGAGTGTCATGCTATCTGGCAAAAAAAAAAAGTTTGAGCAAAAAAAAAAAGAAAGACTTATATCGGAAAATCACTGGCATCCAGAATTATGAATTGTACAAATGACACGAAATTGCTTTTGTGTTGTAATAATTATAGTAATAATAATAATAAACGACATTAATAACAATATATTAATCATAATATTAAAAATGTACACGCTTTACGTGTGAAACATGGACGGTGAGAGAGAAAGCATGACGTGTCACTGACAGAACACAAAGGGCCTTTGCCATCCATTCCAGTCAGGACCACCAGACTCCACTCAGCATTCACTCATAGCAGGGTGTGGCAACACAGGTGGGAGGTGTGGGGGGGGACACGGGAGTGGGCGGGGTGGACACTGCACAGAGACGTGATTGACAAGTGAGGGGCGGAGCCCAGTGTGGTAGGGTCAGGCACTGCAGACTCAAAGCCACATGACACTGGACTTCCTCTCCTTCCTCCCTCGCTCTCTCTCTCTCTCTTTCTTCCTCTCTCTCTCTCTCTCGTTCTCTGGCTGGGCGCTCTTCTCAGATGTGGCTACAATGAGCTGTCCCTGCAAACAAACAACACAGACATCATCTATGACATTTATCTTATACTTTTAGAAGTTAATTCAACCTTTGGATCATATCGTGCAAAATCACTGGGGCTCAATGTGACCCAATCACATGTCTACAGCTCTTAACCCCTTAAACATCTCACTTATTATTATTCAGTGACTAAAACTGATTTCACTCACTTCTATCTAATGTGAGGGACTCAGAGCCACATGTTAGCTGACTTGCGACTTGACTCGGACTCGCCCTTAACTGGCTCGTGACTTGAGTTAAGATTTGTAACAGTTTAACTTGAAAAAATGTGAAAAAATGCGAAAAAATGCTAACAAAGCAGACTAAATTAGGAGCGTCAACCATAACACTGTAAATGACTAAAACATTTCAATTCCAGCCTTATGTACACGATTTGCCTGTGAGTTCTGCTACAATCATGCAGTCATTACTGCAATACCACTCTCATTTAGCTGGCAGCCGCATCAAGTGTGATATGGGTTCAAGTAAAAAGCTTTTCATAATAGAAAAACCTTCAGTCTGATGGACAGAATGAAGTAATATGCACAATTCATGTGGTGTTTACAGGAAAGAGGCAAAATAACAAACATCTGGACAGCAAGTATGTTAACTAGTTCAACAGCTAATTTAGCAGAGGTTTTCATAAGTTACAGGTCACATTCCTTTAAAACGTACTTAAACTTTTGCTCTAGCTAGCATACTTGTTATATAAACAACAGACAAATCAACCCTTTCAAGCCTTTTCTCTGTGAACACTGCAATTACTGTGTGTAACGCTTCAGTTTTGTCCTTTAGACTTAAGGTTTTTCTATAATGAAAGGCTTTTTATTTGAAGGGTTAACTTCTGTACAATGCAATGCAACTGAGACTCATACCAGAGACTCGACATGGACTCGTATGAAGTGACTCTGTAAATACTATGATTCTAATATGTAAGGTATGTATTTATGAGAGTGAGGATTGAAAGTCTGGACCCAGAGACAGATCCTTAGAGTGTAAGGGGTTAATTTCCTGAATGTGGTTTATGTTTAGACCAATCTTAGTTCCTGTGGTGTGGAAAAATATTCAAGCACTCCAAGACAACAACAACAAAAAACTGTTCCCTAAAACTGAACGCTTTACTAGGACATCTGCTCACATACTTCAACAATAAGGTCAAACGTTTCTTGCATTAACAAAAGAAAAACATGCTCATATCAAAAACAAATAATCTGGGACAAACATGTGAGTCTGCACTGTTATTAGAAACTAGAGGTCGGCAATATGGCAAGAATTTAATAAAACAATATTTTATACAAATGTTTATATCTTGCATAATTTAGGTTTAATAAATGAGACCAGACAAAAAAGAACTATGAATGCATCATTGTGTAAAGTGTAGGCTGTTGCCAATATCTGACATAATTCATATTTCAACATATTTGCTTATGCTGATACATAAAGTGCAGAAACTGGGACTAAAATTTGTTTGTAGAGGGTTATAAATGCAAGTAAAATGCAGAGATTTTAGTTCAGTAACTTATCATTACCTAAACATTCTGCTCTTCCTCAGTACAATAAATATGTCATCTAATATTTGGTTGAAATATCGGTCTAATCTAAACATGTGGAAAACATCTAAACGCATTGCTGCAAAGTAGAGGAGCTGACCTTCATTGGAGTGGAGCAGCAGGGGCCCCAGAGCAGTGGAAATGGACATTCTGCCACTTGGAGTCCCGGCGATGCCACACCCTCGTCTCCTCTGACTGGCTGCTGCGTGGCCGGCCTTGCCCGTCCACGTACTGTGTGAGGCGGATGTAGGCTATGCAGGCAGCGTCTTCACCGATCAGGTGTACATGAGGGTTCAGAATGGTGGTGTGGATGGGCTTGCTGTTCTTAGACAACACTAGACAAGAGAAATGATTTATTAATATATCATTTTAAGTATTTGAGCTTTAGGGTATGTTTGCTGTCACTTGCAGTAAAGCTGCCGAAACCTGAGGAAGTTAAGAACATGTAAGACACAATGAAAACTCTGGGTGAATGGTCTGCATGAATAGCAGCATACCTTGAACTGCCTATTTAGATATGACTGGATTAAGAAAACTAACATAATAAGAAAAATGTCCAAAGATTCACTAATGTTTTAGTTTTGAAGCAAAGTTTTTATGGAAAACTTCTATTACACTGTTTTCTACAACGTCGTTTCAGGGCTACTGTTAATAAAAATAAAAATAGTAGACTTGGAGAATAAAGTCGTAATATTTCGAGAAAAAAGTCGTAATATTTCAAGAAAAATAGTTGCAGAATTACAACATTAGCGGCATTAATACCAGGTTAAGGCTTTGCAAAGGGAAGGCAGCACCTCCTTGTGTTAAAATGAAGGGCGTTGATGAATTGGTGAATTATACTTTCATATCGATTTCACCCATAAAGAAATACTCAGTCTCCCTGTCTGTCCTGGCACATCAACACCAGACTGTTATTAGTATAAGAAACGGCTGTGCAAGAAACTATGTTTTAGATGAAAGGACCAGACGGACTCGGAGGAAACTGTCTGTTTTGTTGAAGGAGAATCGCAGGTATGGCTATCTGTGGCTACATCTCCATGCCATTCAAAGAGGGCATGTAGTTTCACAGACAATGAGAATGATACTCAAAATGATCGATCCACAAGAGACACAAGTGTGCGGGACTCCGGCGTGCTCAGCGTCTTTGCCGTAGCCAGTACAGAAACCGAGACCCCAACGCGTTATGGCAGCCCCCCTACAGTTAAACCACTTCATATTCTAAATATTATGACTTTTTTTCTTGAAATATTACGACTTTATTCTCGAAATAGTACGACTTTATTCTCGAAATATTATAACTTTTTTCTTGAAATATTACGACTTTTTTCTTGAAATATTACGAGTTTTTTCTCGAAATAGTACGACTTTTTTCTCGAAAGATTACGACTTTATTCTCCAAGTCTACTACTTTTATTTTTATTAACAGTGGCCCTAAAACGCCGTCGTAGTTTTCAGTTCACTAGACCTTTTTACTGAAAAACAATACATTTACAAAACAAAATGCTTAATTTGTGTCAGAAACAAATACAGTCTACACTGAATTGCAAAACTATATTGCTTTCCACCATGCAATACTAACGTTAAATCAGTGTAAAGGATTCTTTACTTTTCATTCAGGCACGTTCTCCGCATGTCACCGCTTAAACGGAAACTTGTGTGCATTGCATTTCCACTGTTTTGACTGGATTTGTGTTTGAAGTACTGCGTGGTGGAAAGCCATACAGCTGTGCCTTGATTATATTTCATGGTGGACTGTATTCTATACTGACACGAATTCAGCATTCTGCTTTTTAAACGCAAATTTGTATGTATTGTTTTTCAGTATAGAGGTCAAGTGAGGTTTTGCTTTTCATTTTGGCATGTATTCTAGGATGTATGTCATTATTGAAAAGTGAAAATGTCATGTGTATATTGCCTTTCATGTTTCTCTACTGCAGTGACTGCACTTCAATTTGACACAAATTCCTCTCCACATTGTTTACTCACAGTTCTCAAAGTAGAATCTGTGGAAGTCCATACCCTCCACCAGATTTCCCAGAGCCTCTGGCTCAAATGAGGTCAAACCAGGGTCACAGATTTTACTGTATTCAAAGAAAACACAAATTGATTTAATTTTTCATCACTGACCTTCAGCCAAAACTGAAAATCAGATTCACAAACACAGAAACATTTAACATCTTACGCATAAGCTTCAAAGTCTCCATTGTTGATGGCCTCAATAAGCTGTTCAGTGATTTTGATGATCTCCTGTTTGCGTGCTGTCAGAGGAAGAAGAAAAGTAAAAGTCAAGAGCAATGCTTTGTTTTTCTGTCTCTCACACGAAAAAATACAATACGTACTGCATTAGTCACAAACCATCCTCCAGAAGAAGGAGAGGTCACACACAGGATTGGATGCATCTATTTTCAAACACCAAACAAACCACCTATGATGCCACAACACACAAATCATCCTGTCTCTGTCTCTGGTGGTCAAAGGGCTTCAACTGCCACAAAGTCCCTGAAACCTCAGAACAATCTACTTTCTCCAAGTTTGTCAAGAAAGCAACCAGGTCAGACGCATGTTAGTCCGTTAGCATCGCCGGCAAGACACTCAAACCTGCAAATCCACAATATGATGCTGCATTGTTAATGCTAGCACCACTGCTAGTGCTAAGTACTGTACTCACAGTGCAAGGGAGGCAGGGGGCTGGAGGAGGGCTGGGGGGGAGGAGGGGAGGGTTGAGTGGGAGTAGTGAGGGGTCGGCTGGGTGCTGCTGATTCAGTGTCTGCCTGGGGGACGGGATTCCTGCGCACACTGCTCACCAGGTCTGTGAGACGTGACACTGAGATGATCATCAGCAAAGCGAAAGTGAGGGAGGACAGGAAAGATGGGGCGGAAGGAAAAGAGAAAGAAGTGATGAATGGAAATGAAGAGAACAGATACTGAAGTAGATGTGATGTGGAAACTTTACACAAGCTAAAACAATAGTAGAGTCTAGAAGGGGAAAGTTCTTGAACAAGTTGGTTTGACAAAGCTGTTGCTATAAAATCCCAGGTGCCAAGTTGTTGCTAGGCGTCTGCTATGGAATCCCAGGTGGTTGCTAAAGAATTGCTATGCTTTTGCCATGGTATCCCAGGAGGTTGGCCACTGCTATGCTATCCCAGCTGTTTGGAGGCCGTTGCTATGGTAATCCGATACTATGCTATTCCAGGTGGTTTCTAAGGTGTTGCTGGGCCGTTGCTAAGGTATCCCAGGTGGCTGCTAATATAAGTGTATATATATTATATATATATATATATTATATATATATATATAATATATATATATATATCGCTTTTGTCTGAACAAAACCTTGTATCTACATTCTATATATATACTTTATAAACATACTTTTAATGTAAGTCAGTGGAACCAGACTTTTTTCCAAGTCATCATAAATTTACATACAATGTAAAGGCCAACAGGCATTTTCAAATGACATCAAATACTGAAAAACTACAAAAATGGAGAAACAAGGTTTTGTGCTGACAGCAGCAATACGCTAGTATAAATGTGAGCCTGTATGTAATGTCTATGAGTTGGCCAAAAAGCAGTTGCTCTATATCTTGAGCAGCTGAAATTAGGGATCACTGCTTGTATCCTCTCCCCTCTTGTACTTACTCTGCATGGGAGTGTTTGGGGTTTGGGGGGTGGGAGGGGCAGTAGGAGCAACGGGGGCAGCTGGGGGGTTATTGGTGCTCCCCTCACCGTCAGCCGCAGGGCCTGAGCCCTTACGCACCACTCCCAGTAGGTCTGTAAACTTGGTGGCAGCTGGGCGGCCAGGAAATGGGGAGCACAGAGCAGAGAGATAGGTCAGTATGGAGTCATAGAGCAAGGAAGACAAGATAGATATAGCAGTTTGAGGGTAAATAACATGCAGAAAAAACCCTCAGTGGTCACAGAACATTAATCTAACATTCCGACAACAAGCACCAACATTATAAAGTTGGCAGCTGGCTTTATAGTGTAGAACAGAATGAATAGGGGAGAATGCTGTAGGACTGTAATATTCCAGAGTGGTGGTGGGGGTCTTTTAGAACAGTAGAAATGGGGGAATGCATTCTAGATTCTCTTTCAGAATCAACTATAAAATTTTACTACTAGTTTTTGAATCGCTTAATGGTTTAAACCTTCATACATTTCTGAGTGCCTAATAAAATATGTACCAAATCAAGCTTTAAGATCATTCAGTGCAAGCCTTCTCCATATTCCACATATGAAACTTAAAAGGAGCGGAGAGGCAGCGTGTTGTTTTTATGCACCAAAGATCTGGAACACATTACCAATAAACATCCGTCAGGCTCCTTGTGTCAGTGTTTTTAAAAAAACAGTTAAAAACATACTTCATTACTTTAGCATTTAACTAGTTTTTTCCTTTGTTTTTACTGGAATATTACTATTACTTTCACTTTCTTGTTAGTTGTATTTTTATTTATACTTTTACGTTATGCTTTTTTACTTGTAATTATTATTAATATATCCCCTTTTCTGCTATTTAGTTGTTTATTTTATCTAGAACATTCTAGAAACTCCCAACAATCACATTCTATGTTTAGGCTTGTGGTCGTTTGTTGGAGAACATTAGGTCAGTGTGCTCTAGCCTTAAAAGCCTCCAGAATCAGAGTGAATCTGATGGCTTTTTCATGTTAAAATGAAAATCTCTACAGAGCAAAACTTGCCCGGCCCTGAATCAGCACACATTCTCCGAGACACCTGATGCTTATGGGTGCTGGGAAAAGGCTAAATCATCTGGGAAAACCTGGCTAAAAACCTGGCCAAGACCATTCACCGTTGGTACAAACAGCTGCGAGAATAAAAGCTGCTTCTGCTTAATTGTTACATGAAGAAAGGACAGTAAAAAGGGGCCATTATTTTAAAATATAATGAGGCCCTGGACTGCCAGAGGGAACAATAGATAGCATTACTCATTTTTTGGCGTTCACTGTGAACAGTCATTAAGTTGTTCTCTGGGAAGACACTTCAGTGACAGAACTGCCTTATTATCACAGAGAAGCACTAGATTAATGCAGTTAAGGGTATCTGTCAGTTCTGTTTTTCTTTTTAGCTCAGAGGTCTATGTTCAACTTAAGAAGCTCTAGCACAAACAATCTCAGAAAAAAAAGATACTAAAGTGCACCTTCTTATTAGGGTGGTATCCTCAAGGGTACATAGACAATGCCTTTTGTTAGACAACATAACTGTATAATAAACTACTGCATCTTTTATTTTAAAGTTGCATTAAATCCATATATGCTGTTTTGCCTTTATTTTATTTTTCTATTTAAAAAAGTTACCTTATAAGTGAACATAGTGTACCTTTAAAACTCATTTAAAGTACACAATTGGACCTTGAAGACCAGTTTGTAGCTTTGACGGTACAGTTCCATTGTTTGAGAGACAAAAATGAACCTGTACAGTATCCTTTCTTTGACAGTGCACTGGACAATGTAACAGCTAAATGAGAAGTCAAAAATGAGGTGAAGCGTCAAAGGTAATAGTAGACTTTGTGTCACTCACTGAAGACAGCAGGGGCAGAGGCCTGAGGCGTGTGGGCGTGGTCAGGCTGGGAGCTGGGGTTTGAATGGGCGAGACCTGAGCTGTGATCTACACTCTTTCCTGTGGCCCGTCCCCCCCGACATTAACAAACAGAGAGATGAAAGCAAAGACAGGCATATGGGTCACAGCAAGGCTGCACAATGTATTGTTTGTTAATGATTATCGTGATTTTGCCCTTTGCAATACTGATATCACAAAAAGCTGAAATATGCAAATGAGCCCTCTAACCAATCAGAACGTTTCACAATACAGTCATATGCAAAAGCTTTTGAATTTAAATTGAAATGAAATTTTCATTTTCATTTCTAAAAACTTCTATTTACTAGCTGATTTGAACATAACATTAACAAAATATAAAATGTGCCATATAAAACTTTTGCACAGGCCACATTTTATGTTTTTTTTCCAATATGTTGATTGCGAACTTAATGTGCAGAAGTGTGTTCGCTGTAGAGGATGTGTTTACTTATTTCCACAGAACACTAATTTGACCAGGGGCGTGCAAAACGACTGTATGCTTTGAGCATTTTGGCCAATCACAGTTTCAGATGAGTGTTTTGATTCATATAATCCAATAAATGTAAATTATTTTGCCAAGCCAATCCTTAACCATGTCATATTACTGGTTGACCAATGCATTTTTAATGTTTGTATATTGCAACTGCATTATGAGACAATATATTCACAGCTCTGGTATTTTGTCCACATTGTGCAGCCTTAGGTCAGAAAGATGACAGAACAATGCTGGACCCTACCACTGCACACTTCAACGTTTTGCAATACAAACTGATACCACTTATGTATGATAACTAGCGGCTGAGATTAATGTTATAGCTAGAAATCACTAAAGAGTGCAGTGCAGAAGTCCACCAAGACATGTGAAACAATGAATCAGAGAGATGAGAATAAAAAACAGACTGTGGGCTGAAATGGAATAGAGTGAAATGGAATGAATAGAGTCATGTAACACAGACAGATTCAGAGCTAAAAAAATATTAGGCCCCATAGACACTAAATAAATACAATGTTTACCACTTGACAGAACACAGAAACTGAGCTAGAAGTATTGTTAAGAGTGGACCTCAACATCTACATCACAAAACAACTCCTATCCCAATAATCAACCAGAGGTGAAAACAAAGTATATCCAAAGCCATCATTCAACTGATCCTTATCATCGTAATATCCATTCAAAACAGCAGGGGATAAACTTCAACAGAACAGCTGTTGCTGCTGACTAACCGGTAATCCAAACTATTTCAATATTTCTAACCCCAAACCGTACACATGGACCGTATACGTTACCTTCTTACCGTCGCTTTTGGTTGCTGCGAAAAAGTGGGTGTCATAACTACAATATCGCCAGAGAAGCTTTTAGCCTCATATACACACAGCCAGTGTTTCCCGCTAAAGTTAATTATAGCACAAGGTGCCCTTGCCCTACACTAGTTGTAGAGCGTAACAGTGACCACCCACACACTCTCTCTCACTCACACATATCAGTAATAGTCCTTTAGCTACAGTGAAGTGTACAGTAAGCTGCAGAGGCTTCAGCTTAAGGCTTTATTTAGTCCCAGCACCAGTCATTCACGCTGGCACTGAAGAGTCCTGGAGAAAGCTGAAAAATAGGGATTTCTTTTATTTTCCTCAGTTTTGTTGTGGCCAACTCCCATGCACAAGTTAGAACTCTCCAATCACACTGATGCTTCCAAGCACATGCTTCCTTCAAAACACATGAAGCACCACCAGATCTTTTCAAACTGCTGGTAACGTAATGTCACAGGACAACTCAACACGCTTGGTGGAGAACGCTAACCGCTAATTCTGTTACGTCAGGTAACAGACGCCTTTGCTAACTAGCATCAAGAGGGAGGACCATCTTACCCACCCAGAGAGAGTGGGGCCAATAATGCTCTCTTGGGTTACTGGCCACTGTTTGGGATCAAACTTGTGATCCCTGATGACAGGGTCAATTCTTAAACAGTATTTGTTTAGTTATTAGTTATTCAAATAAAAAACAAATCAACCATCTATGAACTTGTAGTTATTTGACAGATTTTGTTTGAGCATACAATGTAGAATCTTGGTTGGTTCTTTCTTTATTCGTGACAATATATTTTCTCGTGAACCTGTTTAATTATTATGCAATTTAAAAATAATGATATTTGAATAGCAATAAATTGTTAAAACAGCCATCTGCATGACATAAGCTCTCTGAACTTACTGGTACTTAAAAATTAAGGTACCAAACAGGATTCTTTAGAGTGATGCCACTGAAGAACCACTTTTTGGTCCCTAAAGCAGTGGTTCTAAAACTGGTCCTTAGGGACCCCCAGACAATCCACAATTTTGCTCTATCCCATCTCCCAACACATAGGAATAGAGCAAAAATGCACTATGTGGATGTTCCTGAAAGCCATCTGAGAACCACTACTCTAAAGAACAAAGTGACATTTTTTGTAAACCTTTCTGAAGCTTAAAAAACCTCCACATAATGTGAAGCTTCATTCAAGCCACATTCAAGCCAAGAACCATTCAGGAACCATTATTTTTAAGAGTGTTGACAGAACTTCAGGATAGCAGGCTCCTAACACTTGGACCTCTAAAGTGCAATGCAGGCAACGTTGTTGCGCCATTTCAGTCAGATTTATCTCCAAACTCCCGCCACCTCTCACCTTTCATGTCTTCATCTTCCACTGTGGCATTACTGCTGTCGGATGACTCCTGGGGCAGGAACAAGACAAGATAACTGTTAAAAATGACCTCAGGTGTTAATTTCAGAACACTGAGTGGCGGTACGAACACCCCACGCAGACACACACACACACACATACACACACACATACATACACACACACACACACACACACACATACACAAGTGTATCCAAATGAACATTTTAATAGCAAAACCACAGAGATCACATACAATTAACTGTTCACCAATGCATGGCAAACCTCATTAGAACAGCTGCAACATGCTTGTTATATATACACACACAAACACATGTATATACACAAACAAACACATTTCATACTCCACAGCTCCGTGAGTCATCGACTGAAACAACTTTTATTTCTCAACACTTTTTTCATGTTCTCTTATATAAAGTTACAAACAAGGTACACTAATCAAGACACTTCCAGTTAGAATGACATAAACCTGAATAAGTATGCAAAGCATCATTTGCTAGAACGCATCTTTACAGCAAAGCAAAATGTATACCTACATTCCTCAGCTTTAAATATGCATTTTGGTCTCTGGCATTAGTGAGTGGGTGAAGATATTTGTTTCTGCAATGCATCATCATTCAAAACACCTCTGGCCACTTACTGCTGTATGATGCAACATTAGCCTTGTTTATACTTCACACTAACTTCCAATCATGGAAATTGAATGGTGGTAATCGAATCATCACTAAATGAAGACACCTTGCTTATAATTGCCTTATTCAAGTTCCTGCATCTGGATATACATCTGTGTCCCTCCTTTTATGTGTATTGTGTTCCAGTGTTAAAGGGAAAGATGCTGAGTAATGCACACTTGCTTGGTGGCAATATCTGAAGCAAACAGCAAAACAAAAAAGAGGTTAAATGTGTGAAACTGCTAAGTTCTGCAAGTGATTCTATGGGATTTCAATGCTATGTTAGTGTCAAGTTAATGATGGTGTACATTTACCTTTGCTACTTAAGCCAGCTCTACTTAAATATGGATATGTGAAGCTTGTAACAGACATTCAAGCAGCGCCATCTTCACTTTGAATGTTTTACAGCGAATCCTTCAGTAAAGCTTGACATAATATTACTAGAAGAGCCTGTTAGCCTGATTCAGTCTAGTGCCTCATTACCTTAGAATCCAAACACATTCCAATCGCAAATGCAGTTGTACTCATCTTTTAAAGTGTATACAGGCAACATCCAGATATGGGATATATTTAAATGGCAAGAGTGTACAGGGTTACTGGCTGACTGTTCCAGCAGATTACTTTGTATGGAGTTTATGATGGATATACTTGTCTAGCAGATAAATTAAATGGGGTCTGAAAGGACAGAGAAAAGAGAACAGCTCAAACTCCTTCTTGCCCTCATTTCAACCCTCTTGAGCAGAGAAGCATATGAGGAGAGATGGAAAGAGAAAGAAAGAGTGAGAGAGAGAGAGAAAGAGAGAGAGGGAGAGAGAGAGAGAACGACAGAATGATGTCATGAGAGCAAGGAGGAGGGGGGGAGGTCACCTGAGAAACGGAACGGAGCACCTGTCATGGCCGAGCCATGGCCATCACCAAGGACACCAGAAGCTGCTGTAAATAGGCCAGCTAGGCTGTCAGTATGTGGGACGGTATTATTAGGCGCCTTTGTTCTTTTAGCCGTACATCCACATCGTACCTCTCTTTATTATGTTTACAAGATGTGGCAGACTAATACATTAACAGACACACATCTGACATTAAAGAAATTATGGTTGCCACTATCGACTATTTTAGTAATGGAATATTCTACTATATCTAACAAATTTGATAATTAATCAAGCAATCTGAGTTTTCAAAAAATGCCAAACAATAAAAGGGACTAAACAATACAAACCATGTATAATGTAAAATGCATATAACTACATCAGTCCATCAGCCTCTGTTTCTTACTGTTAAAACGTAAACTACCAAAGAAAAAAAAAACAGAAACTGAGGGTTTTATTATTTCGCTAATATGTTATTATGCTACCTCAAATTCATACTAGCTTATAAACAGCCTCCTCTACTAAATAAATCTTTCCTAGAGTGCTGCTTAAAATGAAAGACAGCACAGAAAAAGTGAATTACGTTGTAGTATTATACTAATATTTTATTCTAGTACATCAATTCAAGTTCTTGCCACAGGGAGAAGCAGCACCTTCTACCTCCTAACACAAAATTCCAAAAATAAATATTTAAAACAGAAAAAAGAGGACAGAAATAGCATTTGAGGGTCATTATGCAAATACATTATGCCCGACAAGCAATACATCTTTCCTAGAGTGCTACTTAAAACAGATGAAAAGACTGATCTACATTTTGTTCGAAAGATCTATTTTACTGTAAGAGATAAACTAGTAAGCCTTCAAAGAAATTATATTAAGAACAATATTAAAAATATTATGTGAAAATATTCCGTGAAAAAAATGCATTTGCATTTGTATTCTTTAAATAGGGTTCCTGGACTAGATTTGTGTATGCCGGCCTGACCTGATGTTCCCTCTTACCAATTACATTCTAGGCTTTAACCAAACACTTTCACGCTCGTGACGTCTGACGTTTGTTTCTGACGTCAATGTTTCTGGATGCTGTTCTACATTCAACAGTTGCGTTCCGACAACAAAGCAATCTGTTGCTTCTGTAGTTCATCAGGACAGAGAAAGCGGTTAACAAAATTAATTTGCCCACAACTAATCTCCTATGTAAGGGACGCAATGCAGCCTCATCGGAGAGCTTTGATATGCTGTGTTTCCAAACATTACCACAAGGTGGCACCACTTCACACAGTGCACTCAGAATCAGAATACAGACACACAGCAACAAGATGCCATGCAGTAATGCTGATAGTCATTTCAGCCAACTGTTGCTTCTCAGCCTGATATGTCATACCCCTTCTGAACACAGCCTTACACACTCCATTCAAAGGATCGCTCAAGAGCCTCTCATCTTCTTATCTCACAAACACACATGCTTATGGACACTAAGCAGACGAGTGTTCCAGCTACCGAAGCACCATTCAGTTGTTTTAGGTGAACAATACTCTGATAAACATCATTTACAGCAGGCCTGCTAAGGCTTTCCTAGAGCCATTTAATATGGAAGAAAATAAAGAGGAGTGTTATGCTAAGATCTTATATGTACAGTACTGTTCAAAAGTCAGAGACCACCCCCTTATTTTTAATTCATTTTCAGTCAACATTGAGGCCATTAAATACAAGTTGCTCATGTTTTGTGGGGGCAGAAAACATATTTAACAGAAAACGACACACCTTAACAACTAAATATAATTTCATTTATTTAATATTTATGTGTCTATACTTTGCCTTTATTACAGCTTCCATTCTTTTCCACAATTCCAAAGTTCAGTCGTAGAAGTTGGTTGCACTTTCTGCTTCTCACGATCCAAGTAATCTTAAACAAGTTCAGTTGTGGTCTGGACTCTGGGGTGGTCAGTCCACTGCTCGACAATAGCAGTAGCTTCTGTTTCATCTGCAAATTTTGTTATTTTTTGTCTCTTTTCTTTTCTCAGTAAAGGCTTCTTGACAGCTACACATCCTTTCAGACCTATAGTACTGAGTTGTCTTCTCACAGTGGAGGTATGGACAGAAACACCTGTGGATGTTTTCAGATCTGAATGAAGAATGGAGCTTAATTTTCTCTTCTCTCTCAAAGATGAGTGCTGTTTATCTGAAATATAAGCACAGAAATATCTCCCGAAAAGGGCATAATGTACTTAATGGCCATGGTGACTGAAAATGAAATAAATACAGTGCTGTATGTTAACTGCAGGTTAACTCAAATTCACACTAGCTTGACTAGTAGCGTTTTTACACAACACATCTTTCCCAAAGAGCATTAAAATGGGACAAAAACAGAGAACTCATAGAATATTGTTACACAAATATAATCAGCTAGTACAGCAAACATCTTAGGACAAATATTTACTGCAGAGCCATTTATTAGAAAAAAAACATAAAAATAGCATATGCGGGGTGTTATGCTAATATGTCAACCTAGTAAGATAACCCAAATTCAAGCTAGCTTGAACAGTATAATTTCCTACTTCCTAAACCTTCTAGGCCAAATCTTTCCAAAAGAAAAATGTAAAACAACAACAACAAAAACAGGCGTGAGGAGAATTATTATGCTAATATGAACTCAAAATTCATGTTTGCTTGATAACCATCACCTTCTACCTCATAAAAATCTTTGTAAAAGATCTATTTAATCTTGTAAAATGATATTTGAGCTGCACTATTAATGCTAATAGCTTATGCTTGTATGTTAATTCAAATTCATGCTAACCTGAGCAGCAGATCCAAACAAACCATGTCAGAAAACACACAAAACACACCACAGTCTATGGTCACATTCAATCAGATGCATTATGGGGATGCAGATCAAACAGAAGGAAAGAGACGGAAGAGGGGGTTTTGAGGGAAGAGTGCATGTGTGTGTGGGGTGGGGTGTACCTTAATCCCATCCATTGGATTATGGATAACAGTGCTCTGAGCTTCCTATAGCAACAGAGGAGGAGAGGAAGATGGGATGGAAAAGATAACACGAAAGAAAGAATAAAATGAAATGTGTGTGTGTGAAAGAGAAAGGAGGGAGGATAAGAGAGAGAGAGAGAGAGAGAGGCGCAGCTGCAAAAGAAAGATGTTGCGGGGGTGGATGGGTGTCGAAGATTGCCAACCCACCCAAAAATAAATAAATAAATAAACAAATAAAGACTAAACAAAACACACAATAATGAAGACACTAGAGATGCCACAACAGCGATTAACATGCTAACAAAGACCTGCTGCTCATCTCTCCTGTATTCAAGACTGCTGTAACCCTTTTACAGCAAACTGCCAAACACAAGTCTTTCTAATCATTTAAAAAAGAAGAAAGGAAAGGTAGTGTGCAGTGGTATAAGCAATCTCTCAAGGCCCCAGTGCCATCAGTAAGCCCCCCCACCCCATGAGTATGTAGTATTCATTTATTTAATCTTATTTATTATTTATTTACATTTACATACAGTTTAATAGTTTATAAGCAAGATGATGGATGGAGATAATCAGAGGAATCATGAACAATCCATTAGCAGCCTGACAGAAACCATGACATTCTGGAGAAACACCATCCATATGGTCACCAAGAGAACCGACTTGATAGCACTATAAGTATTTTTCTTCCAAACAAAATAATATGTTTGGGGTGGGAGGTGGGGGTCAGAGGGGTGGGGGTCAGAGATTGCTTAGGGCCCCCAAATGTTCAGAAACGGCTTTGCTAGTATGAAAACTCAAATTCATGCTAGGTTGGAGAACTGATCTGATCTGGATCTGTTCTGTTCATGCATGTTTTCTCTGCAGGTCTGTGTCAGCTAGATGTTCTTCAGAAATCATCACCCCCTACTGTTCTCCCCATTCTCACCCCCAGGAAGTGACATTTCTCCAGCGACCAATCAGTAATTAGCTGCCGCATGCATTATGATGTTGTGATTGCTATGACAACTGTCACCATGGGCAACTGACAGGCTACGATGAGGGGATACCTGAGGGCGGGAGGGGCTGAGAAAGTTGGGGGCGGGGATGTTGCTCGCTAAGAAAAACAATACTGACAAACACTTTATCAGCTCCACAATCCACAAGAAATTACTACAGGGATTTGTGAAGAGATTTTATAAATACTGGACACCTCTGATTATTATGAACTGCAAAACAATTGCAAAATAATGTTCTGGAATAGATGATGGCAGCTTGATCAGGAGTCGCTGTCCCAGTAGATCTCTGAGGTTGTGTGTCAATTTGTAGTCGGTGATATGCTCAAATAAGGATTCTGAACCTGCACTGTTTTTGTTGATTGGAAAAAGAAACAGCGTTTTTGAAAACACCTTATTGTACCCTGTAGTAAACAAAATTTCACCAAAGCCAAGAGTTTTGTCCTATGTACTTTTACCTTTCAGTGTCACAGTATCCTCTAAATTATGTAATTAAGTAGTCGAAACAATTTCCTACCAGGCAAGTTAAAGCTAAGGCAAGTCTAATACTATAACTAAAGTATAAAAATCTTTTCTTCCATTTTATGTAGCACTTTATGTTCACTCCAGGAAAAACTTGTTCAGTAGAAGATGGTGCTTGTCTAGTAGCGTCCGAGCATAATGAGTTAGCATTCTAGCACAACATAGTAATAGAGGTATATATATATATATATATATATATATATATATATATATATACAGCAGCGATATATATGATGATGATGATGATGATGAGATATATATATATATATATATATATATATAATCATCATCATCATCATCATCATATATATCGCTGCTGTTGGAACAAAACCACATATCTATCTATAGTCATATCTAATACTGTAACTGTACATAATTTTAGTAGTATTTCCAAAATCACCTTACTACCACACTTGACAAAGCTTGTTGGTTTGCACAGGTCATTTTGGTGAGACGGCTAGTCATGTGATGCCAATTAAATACGCCGAACTGTTAGGTTGCTTGTAATATATACATAGCAATATTCAGATTTTTAACTACTTAATGACCTCATAATTTAAAATGAGAGAGTAAATGTATGTAGGATAAATGTATCAGCTTTGGAACTCATTGGTTTAACTCATTGGTGATTTTTTAAAAAATGTCACTCATTTTTCCCGCAGCCAAAAACAGCTCAGACCCAGAGCTTGTCTGGACGCTAATGGCGAACTACAAAATGACGACACGTCCTTACAAGTCAATGGTTGCTAGGCAGCATAGGAGCAGTGGTCGTATCCTATATCTTTCCGAAACCCCCTAGCAGCCAGTAGCTTTGACCCCTTGCCCTCCCATTCCAGCAGCATGCTTCTGCTGTTCTCATCAACGTCTGTATTAAACTCCAGAACAGACACTGTCAGGGCAAGCTCTAGTTCTCCAGGCTCAAAAACAATGAGATGTAATTTGAGGAAGCTCTATTTGTTTATTTGCAGATCAGTAATTCAGCCATCTGTCTGCACCAAGCTACTTCTCTCTTTTCTCATCAGCCTGCCCTTATCAATACACTGTTCATTTAGCATAACAACTAGTTCTCTTGCTTCCTTGTATCTGATCATAGCCGTTATCTCAGTAGGGTAACAACGCTGTGACTCACAGTGCTGCAAATTATGCAAATAACATGTTTAGGTGCTTGCATGTGTAGCTGCCGCTGCAATACTCCACTGTTAAAAAGTTTGAAATCACCATTTTCAATAATATAAAACCAACGTTAATGCAGATAAATGTGTAAAATGATTCAATATGATGCTGATATTCTGCAGGTCTTCAAGTATTGTTATTTTATTATTAATATTTTAACGTGTATTAAGGCTATTATTAGATGAATACATTACCAATGTGCAGCTTCATATAAGGACTTTTATGTTGAAGAGCCCGAATAGAGCAGAGGGCTGTGTTTTTAGCTGTTAACGCTGGAGAGGCTCTGTTTCTTCTTGCCATGTTTGGCACTGTTTTCAGTAAATTAATAATAAAGTTGCATTAAGGATCATAACCTCGAGTCGTCCCAGAAACCTGAATGTTACAATATTTTGCAGTTCGCCTTTATTGATAGCTTATACTCCCTAAAAACATGAAAATCCAAATCCCCAAACTAAAGACCGAATACCTACCCAACGAACGAATATCCGAATATTCGGGTCCAGCCGTAAACAACACCTTAACAACCACCTGCGATCCCACAGCAACAGCCTAGCAATCACCTAACAACTACCAAGCAACATCATGACAACAAGCTCGAATACCATAGCAATCCTCCTCTGCAGTAAAATAAAGCTCTGCTGATCGTTCTAACACAATTTTAACAATAAATGGTCTTAGACGCTGGAGTTAATATATAGCTGCTAATTTACCCTTTAACCCTGAAGGTTAGTGCGCAGACTGCTGGTCACAGCAATGCAGACAACATTCTCACCTGGCTAGTAGCTAAAGAAAAGGCAACGAGATAAATTTTAAATGAACATCGATAATTTGGAGACAAATGGACTTATTTGTGTCTCCTGATACGTTTGACCTGCAACAAGAAACTGTCAAACACTAAAAAGTCGCAAAGCTGAAGTTAGCTTCTCTTTCGCCAGCTTCTTGTTTGAATTTTTCTGTTCCACCTTAAATGGTGCAGCAGTAACATTCTGGCGCCTCAGGCACCATTTAAGGTGGAACGGGAAAATGCAAAAAATGAAGCTGGCGAATGAGAAAATGACAGCCTCGTAAAAAGCCAAAAGTTGAGAGACATTTTACAAGAAAATATTCTACTTTTGAGGAAAAGTTTCCTGTTGGAGATGTGAGAAAAGCAGCTATAGCTGAGCTCAAATTTAAAGCAGAGCAAAGTAAGTCTGCGTTTTTGTTTATATATATATTTTTTTAGTCTGTGCTAGGACATAGGCACATACTGAGACATAAAATGTTGTGGCTCCAAAGGCGGATTGATTTTTATTGAAAGGATAAAATGGCTCTTCTTAATATTTGGGTTGCCGACCCCTGTCACAGTAACACCATAGCAACTATCTGGAATTATTATATGAACTCAATTAAGTTATGGTAAACAATCAAGAATGTTGTGCATCTGCTTTACTTTTGAAGTGTTATTGGCTGGTTTTGTCAAACCAACCTAAAACCTGTTTATGAACTCTGCTTTTCTATTTGATTGCATTATTCAGATGCAGCAGAAACAGATTAGACTGGAAAAACAATGGAGAGTCATTTTATTTCCGCTAACCCCATGTGTATGTCTTAGCCTCTTTCTACACTGTGCTTGAACTATTTATTTTGGCATTACTACATATTATTGGCTTGACTGAGCAAAACATCAATCAGATGATTTACAGAATGAGGCAGCAATAACCAACAATGAGGCTACAGATGAAGCCAGAGGAAACAAAGTACTAAGATGAGATTCCTTAGTGACCATAATCACCTTCTCTTTCCCGTCAAGCCTGGGTGACTATATCTGCACCATCGAGCAGGCGGAGAAACACACACACACACATGCACAGAGCATTAAAGGGCAACTATGAGGGATCCTAAAAATATGCTGATATATTGCGCCACGTGTTGTGGTGGCTGTATACGTTGGAGTGCCAGTCATTTTTCCAAGCAGAGTTCACTCTCTGAGAACTCCAAATCTGTCTTCAAACCCTTAACAAGTGTGCGTGTGCTCAGAGTTCACCCTCAAACATTTCACTCCATTAATCCAGGCAATCACCACGCAATTACACAACCATTACCACAAACACCACTCCAGCACTGAACAAACCCAACTGAACCCTGAGAGACCACTGCAAGATCAACTCTTACATATAAATATGTTCATAATATCAATCTGTATTTATTGTTTATGTTGTTCTGCTGAATTTAAAATCGCTTAACTATTTAACAGCTAATATGTCAAGATAACAGCAAGGGAATACAAAATGTTGCATTTGCTTTCGCTCCAGGCAGTAAATATCAGCCCACGTGGGAATGAGGGAAAGAGCAGCAGTGCCATCGTAATGAAAGCGTACAGCTAAAGGTCTCCACCGAAAAGAATGGCACATATGTTTGGATTTTGTTTCAAATCATTATCTGTTTTGTAAAACTACAGTAGGTAGTATGCTGCTATCAGTTAAAGCGAGATTTTCATCATTTCTCTCATAAAATAATCAAATTAACACAATTTTCTGCTTACCCCAAATGTAGCTGAGCAAGACATGCTTTGCGAAGTCTTTAGGTCTGCACTGGCGATATGAGGCTAATATAGCTAACAAGTAATAAAAGCTTATATACCACCTGTTAGCACTGTGCAAACTATATACATTAATCACCACACTTGTCTCAAACCATGTCATGTTGTTTAGCAAACTCAAATACACTTTATGTGGTTCTTGATATTGTATCACACAGCTGTCTAGAAAAATGAACCAAAGTACAAAAGCACATTGCAAAGCTATAAACAATAGAATAAAGCAGCCACCGTGAAGCCTTAATTTTGTCTGCATGTTTGTCTGTTTGAGATAACTTAAAGGGCCTCTTTCATGCAAAACTGATATAGTATATAAACACTGCTGAAGTTTTAAAACATACCATTCACTTCTCAGTCCGTACAGAAAATAAGCTGCAAAAACAGCCTGTTTTAGATTCACTGTTTCTGTCATGAAAGTCAACTTTTACATTTATCTACCTATTCAGCCTACAGCGATTTAGCTCCGTCCACTCTTGTTTACATTGTAAGAAATGTTATATCTTGGACTGCTTACTGCATGAGACACTATACAGGGCAGCCAATCAGAACAGAGATCATTTACATATATCAGTCTTAAAGGCCCAGTAACAAAATAGCCTGTTTAATTCTAAGAGATAAAAAGAGGTTGGGAAAAAGGTCATGTAAAAATGAATTATGACTATTTACAGTACATAAAACTACACCGATGTTCTAAGTGGACCCCAAGGGTAAAAAATTAAACGCAAGTAAAATGTAGGATATGGGCTGTTTAACACTGCTGATTCCATAATGATGGGTTAGCCATTACGGGTGGAAAAAAACAATTATTGGATGCCTCGTGATTCTTCTTTGTAAGCTTCTGGATTGATGCACAAAACATAAAAATCTATTTGATGGTTACATGTCAAAAAGACATGGGCCAGCAGACTTAGTGTTTTGTGTGAAAGCTATAGGACTGTTATTAAATTTTACTGTGGAATATTTGTCAAATTCAAAGGAAAAATGCAGAAAACACTCATTAAAATTTTTACAGCTCCCTCTGCTGCAGCTTCTAGTGTGTTTCTCATCATTTAGTTATTAACATCATAAACGACGCCTACCAAACAGAGGGAAGAATATGCCACTGTTGACCATAAACATATAAAACAACAGTTTATTTTGTTTTTTAAATAAAAATGTATGGGGATTTATATACTAAAAATCATGTGCAGTAACTTTATAGTTATCTAGTTATCTGTTATTTAGTTATCTGCATCAGATGGCAGACTTTTTTGACTAGCCCATGCTCTGAATGTGGATGCTTTGTAGCATAGTAAACTAATAATCACCTAATATTTTCATGCAGTGAAGCTTTGAGACCAAGCTGTGACTGTGCCAGTTACACACTTTCACTAGTGTCACCTTCCATGTTCTTACAGCACAGCCTCTGTTTAGCTTATAATGAGAGAGGGATATCACTGGTGGGGGGATTTTATAAAATAATCCTTCTTAAAGATGTCAGAACAGGCCTATATGCCTCTTTTGCCGTCCATCTGGTGAGTCGTGACCCCCAGGCTCAGAATTACTAGTTCAAACAAAGTGTGCTTTTTGGGTCACTTAATAATTTATGCTGAGCGCCTCCTGGTGAATGTAAGAGACAAAACACTGGCTTGGAAATCTGGCCTTTACTGCAGTTATTTATTTATTAATTTTTTGGAAATATAATGTATTTAAAATTCACTGGAAAATTCTAATTTGATTTCTGATACTCTCTGCTTGAGACTCCTATTAGCCACGCAATTTAAATGATGCTAACTTGTTAGCTACATTAGTCTCACATCTCCAGGACAAAACAAAAGAAGCAAATTACGTTTGGAAGATCAACTACGTTTAGAGTAAAGGGTGCACTGTGTAAATCTGATTTTTCACTGTAAGTGCATAATTAAAATAACCAATAAGGTGGCTTGATTACAACAAACCATGTAAGATTTTGCACAATTCACTTTTAAAACTGGAAGTAAAGGTGAGTGCAGCTTACTTGCTGAAACATCACACGCTCTGCGGCCTTGACGAGCCGACAGAGCAAAGGAACCAACGCACACACAGCCATGCTATCGGACTGAGGGGTCCAGACACAGACAGGAAAGAAAAAGAGAGCGAGAGGAGAGGTAAAGGAACAGAGTGACAGAGGAAGGAGGGATTAGAGAGGTAAATACCAGTGCAGGAGAGGGGAGGTTTCCTTTGGGGCTCGTGACTATGCTGTTTTTGGTGCTGTTGGTCTGGGGCTGTGCAGGGAAACAACACAACACATACAGGGTTAAAGAGGAAGAAGGTTAAAAGTGATGGAAGAAAAGATCAGCATGCATTTCACACACACAAATGTTCAGTCCCACTCAGACCCGCAAACACAATATAATGCATAGCTCTGGTCATTATATCCGAATGGCTGAGCCTGTTTTCACGCTACTGTAAAATATAAATACATGTGTAACCACATACACACGGTTGAATTAAGGATTAATGCACCAAGACTTTGGCTGTGACCGAAATGGATCCCTATTCCCTTGTTACTATTGCGCTACATGGAGGTGAACTATTTAGTTACTTAACGCATGACTCAGTAAACGAATTCAGACACTTTCACATCATCAACCTGCGTAGTAGTCACAAGACCGCAAACCAACCAGCACTAGGTGCCTGAGCGAGACTGAAGTTGGCTTCTTATTCATAGTACAGGGCTCTGCACAACTTTTTAACACCAAATTCAACACTTTTTAATAACTAAGACATTAACAAAGGGAACATAATACCATTACCACCATACAATAACATGGCATGTATCAATGTCTTATTGTTCAATGTTTTATTCAAACAGCCTGAAAATCAAACACTGATATACAGTAATATGCAAAAGGTTGGCCAAACCTGGTGAAATGATGTTTAGATGATTTTCAAAGTGAAAATTAGTTAATGTCTCCACAGAGAACACACTTATGCACAATTACTATTTATTTGCTAAATTCAGTGTATTGAGGAAAAAAATCAACTGCATTAAAATTACGGCACATTTCATATTTGATGTTTTTCAATACATTAAACTCGCAAATAAATAGAAATTGTGCAATAAATTTAGCAGAAAAATATGATATTTAAGTGTTCTCTAAAGAGGATGTGTTCAAAAAAAAACAAAATATATATATATATATATATATTATATATATATATATATATATATATATATATATATATATATATACGACATAGCAGTCTCAGCTCTTTTTCGACTAAGACTTTAGGCATTATGTTTAGATGATACCTCCAACAAAAAAGAGATTTTTAAACATTTTATTAACTTAGATTTTTAAAATTTATTTTATATGACTTCTTAAAAATGTGCAGGAACCCTGCAGTCATAGATATGTGCATGACATGCAGGCGTGAGGATTGGGGAAAAAAGTCCCAACCCTAAACAGGCTACACATTTCATTTTTGGTCCATGACTGCAGTGACCTGCAGTTACCAGTCAGTGATGGCCACTTAGCTAATGTTCATCTGGTCATTGCTCAGTAATGTAAATAACAGATGTAAAAAGATGTAAAGATCTATGGTGTTCTCTAGAAATTGCAAGTGGAATTACATTTTACAGTTTGGATGGTGTACATAATAGTGCCATTAAAAACATGAATGTGGTCCACTTTGGTCAAAGCTGCTGTGTTCTTTAACTGCTTTGTTGCTTGGAAACCATAGCATAGTGTTGCTTGGCACAATTAATGTCTATTGCGATTATTAAAAAATAAACATACTTATTGAACACTGATATATCCCTGTATTTGTCATCATGACAGGTCAAACAACACCCTTTCATTACTGTAATGAATGACCTCTCGTGGCTTACTGCTTTATTATAGAGTAACTGTGCCTCTGTAGGAAATAAAAGGAAAAGTCACAGAATTACAGAATAATGTGAAAATGAATAAAATGTTCTTCCATGAGGGAAAAGGAGGTCAGCAAAAACAAACCAGTTGTCCATTATAACGCTTCTCAAGCCAATTACGCTTCATAAATCTGTTCCATTATGGCAATTACACATAATAAGTGATAATGAATCATATTCTAATGCTGAAAACATGGCTGACTTGCACTGGTCACACAGACATTGGGCCATTTGCAGCTAACGATCCTCATTCCCTCATAGGTCCTGGTGTTTTCATTCAAATTAAGCAAGTCATCATTAGGCAGGAAGAAAGAGGCTGAGGATGCTGAGGAGACAGCGACATGATTAAATGGCTGTAGCACAGTCCACATTCACAAGACGTACAGAAACGGACAGAGACGAGTGACACCACAAATGAACTGGCTTATTTGGTGTTCTGTCGGCCCTAAAGCGCTAACGAGTGAGCACAGCAGCTTTGCAGAAACCAGCTTTCTGTCTTTCCACAGCTGAGAGGATCATTGGGGCAGAGACCCAAGAAAACAATAAAAGCAGCAAGAATGGACAGAGAAGGAAGAATGACCCAAAGAGCTCGCACAAACACGACTGGAAAGCTGGGAGACACCAAGCACGGGAACACCTCATTCACTACACCAACACCCCAGCGTACTACGTTAGACATGAAGCTAACACATGGACACTAACGCAGCTAGACGCACCTCATTACATACAACATACATTACATAGAAATATACATTCGTTCACCAATGTACACCCACACTTTAGTACATATGAACATACATACATCAAAAGTCTTGAGCCATTGTTTAAAAGGATTTATCTGGGCAGTAAGTAGTTACGTCTGATGATATCAGTAATATCGGCAAGTAACTGCTTGGCAGAAAATGATTAGCACACGACAGATGTTTAGATTTAACTGATATTTCAAACTGATAATTAATGATGTATTTATTTTACTTGGGAACCGCAGAATGTTTAGGCTACACTGGGCTTCTGTACTAAAATTAATGTTACTGCATTTGTAACCCTAGAGAAATAAATCTTACATTTCTCTTTTATGCTAATTCAATTTCGACATTTTATAAATATGGCATCATCCCAGAATTGCCATATTGGTGCAGCCCTAGCAGCCAGTGTGTTTTGCTTGTAAATCGCTAAATAAAATGGTAAAAAATTAAAATAATCATTAAAACACACTAATAGACATTAATTAGTAACAAGAATTCCAAAAAGTGACTGTTATGTTGGTTCCTCTTCTCCTCAATGCACCTCTAGCCGCTGCATGGATTTGTCAATATCCACTACCAACACACCAGATTTAACTTAATGAAGTATGAATTAGCCCAGTCAGATACTGGATGGTAACTATAAATACTGGGCTTGCGTGAGGAGAGGGTAAGAAATGGTTGAGCAAACACAATGAAACACAAACAAATCACAATTTTTTGTATTAACGAGGAATTTCAGAGGAATTTTTCAAACTTTCTGCATGATTCAATCATTAAGATGTACATTGTCATTTATGTGAAACGGTTGACAGTAGAGAAACTTGCCACATTTACAATGGTGACAGGGATCAGGGATCATAATGTCTATGAATATAGCCATTTCATTTACGTGCAAACCTCCAGTGATCACTGGATGCTCACTGCTCAATTCAGATTTTTTGCTCAGATCTGATCGTTCTAACTTGATGGTCTGCATTCATGTTAAGCAACTCGAATTGGACATTAATGTGAACAAATCCTAATCAATAACAACACGTAAATGAACCACATGCATCATAGACAACAAACTAATGAGCAGAACAAGCCTAAGCCATGAAGAGCTCTCACCAGAGCTCTTATTAGAGCAAGATGAATGCATTGCTTTTGCACTGTTTATTAGGGATGTAAAGACAACGCAGTAACATGTTACTTCTGTCCCAGTTAAGGTGAGTGATGTCTTCACAAATGAGTTAGCATATTAGAGGTACTTGCACGGGTATCTGATCCTCGCGTTACGCAATGTCAGCGCCCAGTTTGATCTACCACTCTTTGCTAATCATTACTGTACTTGACCATTCTCACTCAGGGTGGATGGCCACTAAGCAGATATGTATTCAGTCTAGGACTATGAAAGTGGCTCAGATTCGATTTAAAAAGATCAGATTTGTGGGTCCACATAGCTCTGAAAAAATCATATACATATCAAGGCAAAAGAATTGGAACTGTGCCACTATCACCACTACAGTGAACAATTCTGACAATTCTCAGAGAGTTTCTCAGACATAAAACTCTGAATGACTTTATTTACATCTTAACAATATAATTATGCGGAATTCATGGAATTCCACATTAATGTTTAGTTATATTTACTCTGTTAGTGTTGTTTTCCAGGCAAAGAAAGGCTTAATGCTCAGATATATAGCTTGAAATATAATTTTCTCAGGTGGCCTGAAACTATTGCACAATACATGTATGCAAATGCCCACACACACACACACACACACACACACATACATACACACACACACACACACACACACAGACATACACAATCTGAAAGATCATTTGGAGACCAGATCATTAATAATATAAGTGCAGCTGATACGTGAAATTGCTCCACCTCAGAGACATTTAAGAGATGAAGCCAGTCTGAACAAGCAAAGCTTAAATGCTCTAAGAAACTAAGGCAAAGGGATGAATCTGGGGTTTCAGATCTGCTATGTGTGTCCTTCTTGCTTCAGGATAGGAAAACAGTGAGATGCAGTACTAGAAAGCCAGTGAAGTGCTCTGTGACCGCCACAGATAAAGGATTACATCATATACATGCAGAAGTAAAGAGTGGGAAATCCAGCTGTGCTTATGGTAGTAAACATGAAGGAGCAGTACAGTGTATGTACCATCACTTGTTCAGCCACTGAATACTCTAGAAAGTAACAGAAGACCTGAGCTTGTGTCTACACTGTGGAAACAAACAGGGAAAGACGAAAGAGGATAAAAGATAAAGGAAAACAAATGGAGTGATGATCTCACCATGTACTGAACGGTGGAGCTTGACTTCCTCTTCTGGAAGGATGGAGAGAGGGAGAAAGAGTGAGAGTGGTGAATCATCCAAAAAAAACACTTGCTGTAAATGGCAGCTAAAACTAGCTGATGCCTAGTCAACATGTCTGAGGAACACGTCCACTACTGAGGCTCAGGTTAAAGGAAGCTAGAGGTGCACGATCTAAATGATCCAGGATCTGTGTGGGTTCGGTCTAAGAAAGTTTTGTGCATTTTAGCTCATGTTTTACATTGGGGTTTGTATTGTTTGTGGTATGTTTGTGATGTGCTGGCTCCGCTGGCTCAGGAGTTTTCGTTTCCATTGTCGACTGAGAATCGGCAGAGACATTTTGCACTGCAGTGGTGGAGATGGAATGGAACGCAAGCCAGAACACTTTTCACCGTGGTACTGGAGTTTAACAAGGCCGCAGGTCTGGACACTTCTTACCACAGCAGCAGAATTTGACTATGCAGAAAGCCGGGGACTTTGCTGGTTGTGACAGCAGGGTGTCTGACTAGGCCATGACCCGAGGACTATGTGCCATGGCAGCAGTGTTTGACAGAGTTTGACTGGTACGTGAGCTGGGGACTTCACACTGTGACAGAGGAGTTTGACTAGGTCACAATCCAGGAAACTACAGCACATGGCAGTTGGGAGTTTTTCTGTGTGTGCGTGTGTGTGTGTGTGTGTGTGTGTGTATATGTTTTGTTTGCTGTCATTTGGAATTGTAAAGCATCTTTGAGCTTAACCAAACTTACTATTGTTATTGTTAAAGGATCTAAAACATTTCAAAATTGAAATCATCCAAGATCTACATTGGCCTGAACCAAAATCATCCATGATTGAAACTGGCCAGAACCAAAACAGAGCTGCACTGAGATTATCACACGGTCAATATACGCTCCTGAGATCGGCAACCGGGCCATTTATTTTTATTTTTTTGGGCAATGTGTGTTACAATTTCAGTACAGGTATGCTGTGTTTGAATGTTCTGCATCCATGTCTTTCCATGTGTGAGGCCTATCCAACAAATCAGTCTTTGTGTTTCATACCAGTGTGTTTATTTAGGCCGCAAAGTGCAAGCTTCAACTAAAGGACAACTTGTTGCCCATTGCTTTATAAAAAAAAAAAAAATTAGCCCAAAAATCTGTCCTCTGCCAATTTGGCTGCCATTTTCCAACAGAACTGGAAGCGGCCATTAAACCTGGTTATTGTCAGTGCACCCCTAAAAGAAACTACGGTAAAGATATTTTATGTACCTGGTACAAAGTTATAAGGGCAAAGAAACAGGAGAAGGAGAATGATGCACCAGGAATATGTTCAAAGTAGAACATTCTGGTCAGACACATTCTTCAGGTGTTGAAGACGAGAGGCACTTTGGAAGAGAGGATTTGGGGAAGAAGGAAGGAAGTGAAGGATAAGCAGTAAGGGTGCTGCAGGTGGAGGATGAGAGTGGAGTACTGTGCGCACTCCAGGGAGGCTAAAAGTACACATGCTGTAAGAGAAAAGATTAAAAGTGATTTGTCAGATGCACGTGTGGCCAGAAGTGGTCAGAAACAAAGAGCAGATTTCAGAAGCTGATCTAACATCCTAATGGAGAAAGGAACAGTTCCCCAATAAATCAAAGCTGCAGTTTGGTAATGTAGCTACACACTGATGCTACAAAGTTAATGTACCTAACAAGGAACAGAAGCTGTCTAAAATACCGCTGAGCCATTTTCAAGGTTTGCGCAATAACCAGCAGTCTTTAAAAACATCAGTGTTACTGCTGGGCTGTCAAGGTTCTCCAGACTAGAGTTTTTAATGTTTACAAGTTTACATCCAGATTAATCTTTTTTCATTTTGTAAAAAATAACTCAAAGGAAAAAGGGCTCTGGGGAAATCTCTCTTGAGTGTGACTCACTACCACATTGCAAAGCAGTAGTATTTAAAAAAAGCTGCATCTAATACAGAACATCCTTGGAAAACCATTTGTTGTGTAATGAGGAAGAACTCTTCACTTTTGCGCATCGCAGCTTCCACTTGCTTCAGTAGCAGAGCAAAACACGAATGCAGTGTTATGTAACCGCTGACACTGCACACATTTGAATACAAAGTGAACAAGTTTAGTCTGTTCTGAGAAAGGAGCAGAAATTTTTGGCAGCGTGTGGAGGAAGCAAGAGATCGGCAGATGCATCGCTGCTATAGTGCTATATCGCTGGAGGAAAAGCGAAGGAGGGAAGAAAGGAAGGAAGGAAAGCGAGGGAGTCAAAGAGAGAGAAAAAGAGCCGTAGTTTAAAATGGCTGATGGAGGACGTGGGGGAGCCTGTTGCTAGGCGATGAGAGGAGCACAGTGATGCTATTTCTGTCGCAGAGTTTCCAGGGTTCAGACTCGCGGCTATTCCTGGAACTAGAGTCACATTCCCAACTGAACTAGCTCTTCTCTCTGCTGCTGCATGCACACACACTCATACACACTCACACACACACAGCATGTGTTAGAGCAAGGTGCAATGGTTGCTGTAAGTTATGGAAGTGGAGGAAAAGGTCAATAGCCACTAGGAATATGCAGCACAATGATCATGAGAGGTTACTTAGCGGCAAGAATTACACTTTGTAATTCGCTTGTTTTCATACAGTACTGCGCAAAAGTTAATTTATTGAATTTTGAAGTACAAGTTATTAATTTCAGGAGATATTTCCTCAGGAGTTAAGATTTAAGAAAAAAAGGTACAGTCAAAAGAAAATAAGAGTTTCCAAAACTGGAGTTCAAAAAAATGATTAAAAGATAAAGGAAAAATGGGGCTCCATCAACCATGCAAGATCTGGTAGACCACCAAAACTTTCCCTATCAAATAAACAGAACTTAAAGCTTTCACATTTGAGAGAGAGGAGAAAATCAAGCTGCTTCAGATCTTGAAAAAATCCACAGGTGTTTCTGTCCATCCTTCCACTGTGAGAAGACAACTCAGCGCTATGGGTCTGAAAGGATGTGCAGCTGTCAAGAAGCCCTTACTGAGAACAGGATAGACAACTCATAAATTAAACAAAGAAGCTGCTGGTGTGGACTGTGAACAATGGACTGACCTCAACATCACTGAGTGAGTTTAGGATCATGAAAGTTTTGCTGCTGGAACAAAACGTCTTATCTAGAAAACGGTAACTTTACATCTATAGGTTGTCTCCAAATGACGTCATGTCACTGCGTTGCTGTGGCACTCAACTTGGTGCTCAAGTCGATCTAACAGAGAAACCATGATGAGCGTTTATTGAGTACCAAAAGTTGTTATTCCTAAGGGGGTAAAAATGAAAGAAATTGACCAGAAAACACCAGCAAAATGGCGAACTATCACCCGGGGTCGGGAGGTGCCGAGCATTGCATTTTACACAGTTCACCTGTGGGAGTGCACTGCTGATTTAAAACAATACGTACGAGCAGCGCCACTAACACAGGATTAACAGACAGAAGAACGTGAAGCACTTATCCTGCCGTGCCAGCTTATGGTTAGAATTCTCTGGTTCCACCGTAAATGGTGCAGCAGTTACAGTCAGGTGTTATAATAATAACAACTGTTGCACCATTTAAGGTGGAACAAGAAAATTAGAATAGGAAGCCAACATCTGCCTAGGACAGTTGTATGCCTCCATATATTTGTGTGCTTTCATTTGTTTTTTTGAGTAGAAAGATGTCAAGAGGATGAGGTAGCTGCTTATTTGCACTGCCTCTATAGCAGGCAAGTCTTTGAGCTGAACTGAGCTGAAAAATCACTTCTCTTCATAGCATAAGGATCACGTCCGGAGTATACCGTGACTTTCCGTTATAAACAGCTGTCCTCACATGTCACCTTCTAATCTGTTCTTCATTAAAAATTTTAAACACAAAAAGAAAAAAAAACAAAACTTTAGAACAAAAACAAGGTACAAGGTTTTTGCGCAACAGCAACAATACGTTTCTTGCTTTTTCCCCGAGGCTGAAAAATAAATAGCTTGTACTTAAAGGCCATTTTGATGGAAAATAAATAAATAAATTAATTAATGAATTAATTGCAGAATGGTCTTTTGCACAGTGCTGTACATTTTCATCAGAAAAATGTCCTGATTTTGTAGCAAAACCAAATAGTTGATGAACTACTAGTTGAACTACTGAGGATAAGACAAGGGTTAGGCTGCGTATCACACACATATACATGTATGACCCCATGTCCTGACATGACATAAAACTGTGATTCTAAGTGGGTATGGATTTGAGAGTATGTGTGTGCTGTCTGAGAGTGAAGAAATCTTAATACATATGCTGTGTTTTTGCCATTTTAGGCTCATATTACATTTGAGTGCCTTCACTCTGTACATTGTATTTGGCTCTCATGGAAGATTCCAAAGCTTCCTTGGTGACATCACTGCCCCCCCTTCATTTTTATTCTCCACGACACCTCCCACATACACGCACATGTGCAGACGGAAATAAATCTTCCAATCCGTTTCTTCTCCTCTTTCAGGGGGGGGTATCACTCTCTAGCAGACCGGATGAAGCTTGTTTCACCCGTTCGGTAACACCTTATATTACTGCGCCCTGATTTCTGTGGAACAAATCTAGTGCATAAATTACAATAAGCAGCATTTCATCTACTCACAAGTTCTTTACTGTGCGCTGACACTGTTCATAAACCTGAATGGTGGGGAATAAAGTAATATCTATAATAGAGTGTAAATGTCATAGTGAAGTGACAAAGTGGTGCAGCATTAGTGTGAGCAGAAGCCAATTTAGGTGACAGAAGAAGTTTATCTGAGTTTTTTTTTTTTTCATTCCTCAAAAGAGGGAAAGACCAGAAAGCTGGAATGTAAAGGCTTCTCATATACATAAGTATCAAGTACAAAAGTCAGACTTTCACTCAATCATTCAAATTCACGCACACATACACAAAATATGATTATCTAGCTGACATTGTGAATTGTCGCAACAAAAAGTGACGACGCAGGAACCACCAGACATGGGACACACACTTGTGCACTGACACTGATAACCAGAGCAGTAGCAGTGGCAGAGAAACACAGATAAGAGAAAGAAAAGCAAAAGTGCGAGAAATGAAAGAGCAAGGAGGTAAAGGCCATAGGTCAGGTGGGCTAAAGGGAAAAGGTTGAGAGATCGTCTTACCTTAACGTCGGCCTTCTTGTTCAGCAAAGTCTTGGCTGCTGCAGAAGCACAAATGAAAGAGAGAAAAAGGTTCAGAAAACATTACAGATCAGCAATTATTCCAGTTATACTTATCAATAAGCATGTATCTGAAGTGAAAGATAAACAGAAACATGCTCAGTTTCCCATTTACAATGATGCACTGTGGTTTTGGATTTCCAAGGCAATGTCTCCAGTGAGAGATGTTACAGTGTTAAGAGTTCAACAACAGCTTCTTCAAAGCTCTGGGAAACTCAGCCTCTGATCAGTTCAATCACGATTACCTGCTTGCACACTGAATCTGATCAGCTGTCAATACGCTGCCCTCTAGAATTACTGGCACCAAAAAAGGCTAAAAAAATTGTCTTTGTTTATCAGCAGCTGGGTTATTCACATAAACAAGACGAATACTGGAACCCGGACAGAAAAATTAAAATAACTAAAACTTAATGTTTTCCTTTTCATTGGATATACAAAAAAATGATGCCTGGTTGAATAATTAGAAATAAACTTGAATGATTTGATTGATTTTAACTTGATTTTAGCAGCACTTGTAACATTGGCAGCAATTTTTCTTTTTACTCGTGCCACAAAACACTTTGTTGTACAAGGAAGAGATAATAGGAAAGCAAAAAAAATTAAATACATACACAAATACACTATTAATGGAGACAGATTTGTGGGTGCACTGCTGTAGTGGCAATAAAGGTAAAAATGTAAAAAAAAAAATAAAGAACATTTTCCTGTACCATATGATCTTTTAAATTAAATATATCAATTACATATTTTAGAATTTTTTAATAATATTTTTTCCTCTGCATGATTATGATTATGAGACTCAAGTATTTATGGACGTGGTTTAAGGCAGTTCTATGTTAAAGACATGAAAGAAATCTAACCTTTCAGAGAGAGAAAATTATTCAGAGAAATAACTCAAAATCAGTAAGATAAACGGCATTTTAATTGCCCTTTTCTCCTAATAATTCAGAGGGCACTGTGTATAAACTTCTGTTGAAAATACAAAAATAAGTAAATTCATAAATCACGCAAGCCTCTGCATTCTCCATTAATAGATGTTTCCCTAAAGAGTGTGCAGGGTTTTGCACTTAAAACACTTTTGCTTAAAGGTGCCCAAGGTTGGAAAGCTCCCCAGATAGCATAGAGACAAAACATATTATTACAATAACAGTTTTGTTATTTGTTTGTTTTTCTCTTCTTATAGCATTTTTTAAATATTGGGAAAAAAAAATGACAAAAGGACTTTTAAAACAGGATCTAGAATGGAGGAATGTTTGCAACTCTCATGCACAGATTTCCAATGGTGTATACAAATATTAGAAGCATGCATATTGTACCCACTGCACCTTTAAAGCAATACATTTTTAAAGTGATATAAAACTGTCAGAATACAGGACATTGTTAATACATGTAACAAACAAGTATTAACATGACTGTATTCAACATCACTGTCACAAGAAAACCATTCATTCCTGGAATCCAAAAAGCAAAACCCTTTAGTTTCTCGGCCATTTACAACTTAGAAACACCAACTTTAAACTATTTGTAGCATGGAGGAAATAAAACTGACAAAAATAAAGGGCGACACTTTATTTTAAGTGGTCCTTTTTAGATGAAACACTCAACTGACTTTCAGTAACATGTCAAAAACATATGAGGGTTGGGATTAGGTTTTGGGTTGAGGTTAAGGTTAGGGTTAGGATTAGGCCCAGGGTTAGGGTTAGGTTTTGGGTAAGGTTAGGTTTTGCGTAATGGAAGTAACATATTAACAATTCATCTACTTAATGTAAGTAATGTATCAACAGAACATCTATAAGATATTTACTTCAGTGTATTCAGATGCTTCACTACTGCTGCTACACTGATATGTTGCTGGTGTGCTACTGATGAGCTGTTAAGAGTTTATTAATCACCTACAAAGGACCACTCCAAATAAAGTGCTACCAAATAAAGCCTCAAAACGTTAAAAGTTAAAAATAGCAGTGATTTCTGGTTTCCCTCTTGGAGAACTGTTTTCTTGTGGCAGCAATAATGAAGTCATGCCTTTACAAATCAGCTTCAAACCTTATTTCTCACAAACGATTTCACATCATACACTCATAGCCAACACTTATACAGGAGGCTGCTGGCAGAGCAGATTACGCAGTATAAATTTCCTATATTGCATTTTTCTGAATCACACAACCACAAGGTCCAAATGGTCAGTCCAAGACCGGAAGAGAGAAGTGACGATGACTGCTGGGACTGGCCATATATAAAATAGGTAGACCGAATGGAGTAAGACCATGTCCACTGAAAAAGCACTGTAATATCTGCGACTTCAAATAAATTTTCATCTGAAAAGGTCACAACATACAACTGGCCCCCATTAACCTGGCTCATATCACAGCCCTGAGGCTGTGTTCCCTGACACAGAGACAGGGTCTTCGAAAATGCTGATCCACTACGGGCCTCTTTGAACTTAATTTGCCAGGTCAAAGAGGTCAGAGAGAGGGGAAATGAACAGTGATTCCTGTGGAGAAAACTTAACTTGTGCTCTATGGTAAGAGAGAGAGAGAGGGGTAAGATCCTTACCTTGGCATAAACACAGAGAGCAAGAACAAGAGAAGAGAAGAGGAGGACAGCAGAGGTCAAAATATCAGCAGTACTTAGCCCTACTCTTTAAGTCTTTGCTCTAGAGATGCTCTAAGGACCCAGTGAGGCGAAGTCAAAATTGACATTTTCTGTCACCAGGTTGAACAGAGAAAAGTGAGATGCTACACACTATGTTCATTACTATTACAAGAAACTGCAGCACACAACTCAGTTTTTCAAAACATGAATTATTGAAATTGGACAGCTACAGTATTTTTTACAATATGTTGAGTTTCCAGTTTACAATGTAAGGTTACCGAGCTGCCTAGTTTTAGCTATTAAAATACATTTTAGCAGTGTGATGTTATTTTACTGAGCTTTTTAGGACTCACAACGTTCACAGGTCCTGTAGTGTAAGATTGTCAGCAACGTAACTGAAGTAGTGATTCAGGCAACAGTCAGGAACAACGGGAAAAAAAACGACAAAGAGATGTGTGCCACATTTGCAGCAGACCAAACAGACAGAGCAGCTGCTTGCTGAATGCAGGCCTTTATATGATTTATAATGATATAAGCCAGTATAACTTGGTATTCAACTAAAAACTACCAAAGTCCAGATCAAATTTCTTGCTTACAAAGGCCCAGACAAATGAACTGACATAAGTGAACAGCGACAATGCTTACCTCTGAATGCTTAACCATGAGACTTTTCGTAATAAATTAAGATAATACATATATAAGTAAATAAATAAATAACAAAATGTTTTTGAAAAAAATAATCTTGCAAGCTTTGAGAATATTTGTCCACATTAGAAAAAAAAATCCTGTCTTTTCATAAGGTAACATAAATAAAACAAACTGACGAGCACATTTGGGGTCCTATTATGTTGAGCTCTGGGTTTAGTTCATACGTCCTCTAAACTGGATGTTGTCAGTAGGTTAGTTTGAAGTGGCGCTTAACATTTCCACTTTTGACGAGCTCTTAACACTGTTTTCATCATCGACTTTCCTTTTTCTTTACAAGTCATGATGTTGCTTCACCACTCAGACCAGACAGGTAAAAAACTTTCACTGCTACCATTCTAAAGATGTTTTTAGTCATCTGTTCGTGACATTTCACACATGTAGAACATAAATATGATTTGAAATCAAGAACTGACTCAATTTCTATATTTTGACAAAAACTAAGTTGTGTGCTGCAAATTCTCAGTTTGAATGGGATCTCTGCCAGCGATCTGTAAAGCTTGTCCAATGCAGAGCATGGATAGGTCAATTATGATAAACTATGACAAAAGGAGAACCACACAAGACATTAAAAAGTAAACTCCTACTGTGTTCCAGTGACTGGCCTTTTTAATGTATGAATCAAGAAAATGGTGTACATGAGCATTAAAGGGAATCTTCATATTCCAGATGTGGTTCTTGTTTTTGAGTGGCCTAGGCGAGGTATTTGATCTGAAGCAGAAGCTACAGCCGAGCACGAGGAGGCATGGCTGGAGAGAGGCTAACCAAGAGAGGCAGCACGGCATGAATATTTGATTGCAGGCGTGTGGAGACAGCATCAAATATGAAGCGCAGCCTTTACACCGAGCCACAGCCACCCTACTCCAGCTGAGAGCACCAGCTCTCCTCTCAACCCCTCCGAATGAGGGCTCTCCAATGTGCTCAATCTAACAGGACTTCACCGTTTAGAACGGCCACAGATTTGAATATTTGATTGCAGGCGTATGTAGGCCGCATCAAATATGAAGTGCAGCCTTCTTGCACAAAGCAACAGCCACAGCTAGACTCGAATGAGAAACTGCTTTATCACACTCCACAAGCCTATTCTGCATCTCACTGTGTACTTATGGATGTTTTATTTAATCAGGATTTCTACCATGGCTGAAGACGGTTGGCCTCAAATAAGTAGCAATGAGTCCATCTGATTTGCACACCAAAACATGCTCAGGCATTTATAATGTATGTGCACTCACTGGCCTCTTTATTAAGTGCACCTACTTGGTGTCTACACTCTTTGTCCATTTTATCAGGTCCACTGACCACACAGGTGTGCTTGGTAGCTCTACAATCACAGATTAGCCCCCCTTTACCTCATTTATGAATTGTTGGTACCTCCCACCACTGAGCAGGTATTTATTTCATGGGTCATTCTTAGCACTGCAGTGACACTGACACAGTAATAGCATGTTACTGTGTCCACTTGCTGTCCACTCTGTTAGATGCGCCTACCGTGTTGGTCCACTTTGTAGACGTAAAGTTAGAGAGGATAGCTCATCTGTCGTGGCAGTTTGTGTTGGACATCCTCTAGTGCTTTATGAGTGGTCAGTTTCTCTCCACAGGATGCTGTTGGCTGGAAAATTACGGGTGGTGAATCATTATCAGCCCAGGACTGACACTGAGGTGTTTAAACACACCCTGACTAACATGTCAGTGTCACTGCAGCATAGATGTGGGAAGTGGGGATGCTAAGGGGGCTGCAGCACTTCCAGATATCAAAACTGCTAAAAATAATAATAATAAAAAAAAGATAAATAAAAGAAGTGAATTTTAAAATAATTTGAGCATTGTAAAGACCTGTGTGTACTTGTTGTAGAGCAAAGATTTTATCTCTATGCTTTATTTTTGAATTTTTAACCCTTGCAGCAGTCATGCACTCTTTAAGGCACTGCAGCATTTTCACTACAGCAAAGCAAATCACTTCCCTCGCCAACTGTTGGCCGCTTTGGGGTTGTGTCGCTTTAACACACGCAATATTGGTGGCCTAATATTGTTGTTTAAACTATTATTTATCCTGCTTGATGTGTGCTCGAGTGTTCAATCTCAGTGTGTGACTATAGGTGTGACACAATCGATTACAGCACCACATACAAACAATCTGATTGGTTGGCGCTCGAGGGTGTGCATTAGCAGTTTGATTTGTCAGTAAAAAAACTGAAAGATTTGGCAAGCACATCTAATTCCATGACTGATGTGTGACATTCTTATTCATGCATTTCTTTATTAAAAATGCTAGTTTCTGACAAAACGGAATAAAAAAAGTTTTCAGCTTTGTTACATCACATTCTTTCATAATCACAACAACAGCACAGAGAAATCACATTATTAGCGGAAAAGACTACATAAAACGGCAGAAATAGCTACTTTTTTGCGTCAGCCTTAAAGGAAGGCCGAAAAGACTACAGAGAAAAACTGATGGACTACAATCTGTAGCTGAGCTGAGCTACAAAGCGCACCAACGTGCACTTACCTATATGGTAAGTGGACCTGATAAAATGGACAAAAAGTGTAGATGCAAGGCAAGTGGACCTAATAAAGTAGCCAGTGAGCGTACATGTAAACATCAGTGTCAGTAGGTAACATCCACCTATGCAACAGTCTAAAGTTGGTCAAATGCACAGTATATACCAGCCCACTCCATCAAAAAGGCCTTACTCTGTGCACCACAAAGTTTCCACCATGCACAGGTTGCTGTAAATCACTCCCCCCCTCCCCCCCGGTTAGTGAACATGCGTTAGTCCAGTCGCCCATGCAGCATTCAGTACAGCAGCAGGCAGCCTGTTCCATTCCCACTTTTAGGGTGAACTTCACAATCTCATACAAATACATAGGGACAGGAAGGAGAAGAAGAGGAACAGGGCTGAAAATGAAAAGAATGATGATTATGGGATGAAAAGAGATGTAAACATGGACGATAAACGAGAGAAAGAAAGTTACTTCGGAATGCATACGATGGAGCACACTAATAAGAGATGAAGACGTGAAAAGGTGCAAGTACTAAAGATGCGTGCTCAGTAGCTCTTCAATGCTATGGGCAGAATAACAGAGTGATGACAATCATAACTGACAACCAGCGTCGCCAATGAGCTGCTGGATGGGACAACAGAGGAGGTGGAGCTGGAATGGAAGGAGAGAAAGCTGAAGTGAATTGAGGGAGACAAATGAAGGAGTGAAGTCAGAGACAGGAAGAAGAGGGAGGTAAAGATGAGTCATTGTGAGTGGCGCATGCTTTTAGCCCCATGCAGTGTGGGAAACGAGAAAGGTGGATGAAAAAGGAGACGAAGGAGACCAGGAAAGTAGAAGAGAGGGTAAAGGAAAACATGGGCAAGTGAGGAAAGAGAGCAGTAAGACTTAGAAGAAGGGGCAAAAGAGGACAAGCAGTCAGGGTGAAGGAAAGAGTCAAACAACAAAAAGTTAAGAAGAGGAGGACAAAGGGGGGGGTGGAATGAAGGAGACAGGAGGAGTGTATGAAAAAGAGGACAGAGGGAGGAGAAAAGGCCCCCCAGGGGGCTCTGCTACCTTGTTCCACCAGCCCTGCTGTGGTGCCTGCTGCCGCAGCAACAGCAGCGGCGGCGGCAGTGACCGAGGCCGGAGCCGTGGTCTGCCTGCTACCCACTGACACAAACGCACACACGCACGCACACAAAGTGAGAGGGGGAAACAAAGAGAGAGGGAGAGGGAGAGAAAGAGAGAGCACAGGGAGGAGAAAATCGTTCATTAGTCTAAGATCACAGAAGAAACGAGGCTTTAACAGTTTTTCTTAAGGAGATCACGTCAAAATGGTCTCCACTGAACTAAGTGGCAAACCTGTCACATCAGATGTTCATTTTAAAAGCACAAGAGAATATCAGTCATCCAACCGATACACGCTGTAACATCGCTCCACACAGAAAAAACAGTGTCACGGACGCATTTCATTGAAAGGCAAACACAGACTCGTATTCCTTGCAAATTGACAGACAACAGTAGCACGTAAGGACATGGAGGGGCCGAGAGATGTGATGAGCAGTTCCTGAAACAGGGTCCACGGGTGTCTGTCAAAATAAATACATAAATAAAATAGAACAAAAAATAAACCACACACAGACCCGACTCTTGACGCACTGAAAAAACCAAAACAAAAACGGAACAAGCCGCCAGGAAGATTAACGTAAAGCAGACAGTGCTAGCAGCATCCAACAGACTTACCAGAAAAGTTCCGTGACACTAGCATGGTAGTCAGGATAGCCCCCTGAAAGGACAGAGAGGAACCAAGAGTTATAAAGGAAAAACTAAAATCAGCAAAAGTATTCATGGTACCACAGCTATGTTTCTAATCAAAGGATTTTTGACCAAAAAAAACTTTTACACTTTAAAATGGAAAAAACGGAAAGTCTCATGTAAAGGCTATGGAAACAGAAATTGTTAATAATATTTCTTGAATGTCTACAACTTTTTTCAATCAACTTGTCTCATTTTTATGTGTCATTTTTTATTTTATTTATGGTAGAGAGGTAAAGCTGGACTGAGGAGGAGACGAGTGTTTTTAGAAGGAATGATGCCAATTTTTAGATCTTACAGAGAGAGAGATGCTTAGAAAAGACTACAGCCTTTGTAAATTGAAAGTCCTCAAACAGCTTTGTATGACACAGAAACATCTCTCTTGCAATGGGTCAAAAGTAATATTAATAATAATAAAACAAATAAACAAAACTTCCATATCAGTAGGTTATGGGGAAGTCAGGGAAGCCAAAGGTGCACAAGTTATAGGTGAATTTCAAAGATTAAACGTGTCAGACGTTCTTAAAAACAAAATTTAAACTTAAACCTTAAACTTATTTTACAGGACATTATGTTATTACGTAAAAAGTGTTTTGATTGCTAAAAGTCAGTTTGATGGAAATAAACTCCCGGGCAGCAAAAATCTAAATTCTGCAATGCACTTGCAATTTGTGTACAACGTTGATGGAAACATAAACACAAAGAAGTGTGCGAGATACACACTTTAAGTTTCCTCCTGGCATTGAACTTCTTCAGACACTCCACTGTCTCTTGTCTGTGCATCATGGAGGCCACTGTAGAACGTTGCTATGGAGGCAAAAAATGGAAAATAGAATTATAACACATTTGTGCAGGTACTTACATGAATGTATAGAAAATGTATCACCTTTGTTTGTGTACTTACGCAGACCCATGGGTGTTTGAGGGCCTCTTGTGCAGTAATTCTCTTGGCTGGGTTAATGGTCAGCATCTGGTTGATGAGGTTTTTGGCTTCAGGAGTGACTGTGTCCCACTCTGGAGATGGAAACTATCAGAAACAACAAAGGTCAAATGCACTCCCATACTCTCAGCTGTGAATCATGAACCAATCCAGAATTAAGCCCAAACCATTCTATCGGGCTCCTACTGTCGAGCAGAGACAATGTGAAGCATAGTGGATAGTCCTAATGCACCTCCTAGAGCTTTAACTGGGCTGTAAATTTTGCTCTGAACCCAAAAACTCAGAATTCAGAATTTTGTCTGAATCCAACTCACATCATCAAGTAAGTCCAAACCTTACCCAAGTTCAGGAAAATGAGCTGACAGACGTTTGTTTTTAAGCTTTCTTGCTTTCAAAGTAGAGTCTCAGGACATGGTACTTACCTTCAATTAGCTGCAAAACTCTCTGAGAACCTTAGCTCCAATTTGTCATCTGCTATGCCTGGGTGAAGTGGTTCCCATGCTAAGGACTATTAGGTGGGCCCTAGTGCATTTAGGCATGGACACATCACTCCATGACCTTCCATGCCTACCACAGTTTTGTTGGCTCCTGGTGCCCCTGAGTTTGCTAATTCTGTCTGTAGGTGGGTGGAGCTTTTCTTGCCTGATGTGCAACCTAGTGCAAAGGCAACAGGACTACTGACCACAGCAGAATCTGACCAATATGGTCAGGAAGGTATGTCTTCAATCTTCAACCAACAGTTTGAGCACTGAGTGCTGATATGCAGATGAAGCCCTTATTCAGGCTTAGAGTACTGCAGCTAGCCGGAGAACAGAGAAACTTTCGTTCTCCTTTCCCAACATTTTGCTCCTTGCTCATCTGCTGGTTGCATTAAAGACTTTGTTCCAATCTGCTGACATGGAGCTGGCTGCTGGAACTTCTTGATGTAGCCTTTCAAGCATGAGGTTATATTGCCTGAGACAGCTAGAAGCTCATGGATTCTTAGCCATGAACCTTCAGCCAAGTTTGGCTGGATCAGTCCCAGCTGCCAAAGATGCAAGAACATCCTAAGGTGTCTACCTATTTTGCCCAGATAACTTTTCAGCTGCATGACTGAAGAGGAATGTTGGTTACAAACTTCAGGATTGCTGCTGGGCTCTAGTGTATAGGTGCTAAGGTGCTCTCTGCAGGAGTTCATTTAAGCAGTTGGGTACGCTGGCTTTCCTCCAGCATGTGTAAAGCTTGCAGCTGACTGCAAATCAGGCAAAGAGCTCCCTCATGCCAGCACAAACACCTCATTTCATAAACCTCATCTCAGGCTCCATGATGCCCTCATTCACCTCAACACAGTTCAAGCCATTCTTAATATCCTTTCCAGCTTCATGCTGGGTGGCCACCTGACATTCCTGCTTCTACTATGCTTACTGGGCATGATGACAGCTTCAGTGGTCCTCGCTTTGGGCCGGTTGCAACTTTATCAATTCCAGATGTGGCTGGAGGGTTTACATCTAGATTTGGTAAAGGAGAAACATGTGGAGACATTTACACATCAGGGCATGCCAGCTCTAGAACCCTGGAGACTAAAGCTCCTCGCCAATGTGTCTCTGAGCTTGATCCTCTCACGCATGGAAGTGATCACAACTGATGTGTCTTTAACAGGTCGGGGGGGAAGTTTGGCACAAGTACGGTATCAGTGAAAAACCCAAACCGGTGGTCTTTAGACACATAAACCAGATGTAGTTATGTGCTCTTTACCCAGAACAAACACTTTCTACTAGTAAATCAATCACTGATAAGAGAAAAATTTGGTGCGATTCCTCATGACTCACAACACATGCTAATATGGGCAATTCTCTGCTTTCATTTGCTTAGACCAGTCAAATAGGTGATGGCCTTACTTTCAAGGGAGGGGTAACTATGTTTGGAGGTGGTCCAGACTATTTTGGAACAGAAAGCATGTGGCTTTAATTGTGTGGATTTGTTTGGCAGTGCTGCTAGGTCTGGATGTGTTGATGCACGACAGGGTAGACTAACTGCTTTACTCCTTCTTTCTGTTTCCTCTCCTCCATGACACAGAATTCAAAACTGCAACCACCATGTCCTACTGATAGCAGCATAGGTCACCATCGTTAGTATCTCCTGAGGGGCTTGGCATTTACAGCTCCTGCTCAGCAACAGCCTCTTTTCCCAGCTGTCGGGTCAGGTGCGGCACATGCACTCAGCACACCTTCAGTTGTAGCTGAAGCAACCTGGTCCAGAGCTGTAGCTAATGGATTATGAGCTGGCAGTCAGCTGACTATCCAGTCATTGGAAAATGTTTTCTGATTGGTGTGCAGCATTCAGTCTCCATGGTTGAAAAGTGGTGGATATCTATGCAGCAGCTACTTGTTCATCACCATGCACACTCTCCTGGCTATGAAGAGTCAACATTGACTCCCCTCCGGTTGGGACCTACCTGGTGCTACCTCTGCTTCACAATAGGTGATTCCCAATCCTTGACATATTCACCATTTACTGGGCTATATGCTAGCTATGAATGTAACAGTGATTTCTAGAAGACACTTTCATAGTGTGCAGTGCGGATAGGGTACTGGCTGTGTCCTGCTAGGTATGAAATGTTTATGGGCTGTGCAACCAGTGAAAGCTTGTCTATGAGAAACAATGTCAAGAAGGAATAGGTACAGCATGAAAAGGTAGCTTTAGGTACCAAGAGAATGAATGATGAAGGAAAATGGATTAAGAAGGAGGGAGGAATCAACTGATGTTATATGGAAAGAACTGAATAAGGGTGAGAGGAGAAAGATGACAAGCAGAGAAGACAGATGGAACAGAGAAAAGACATGAGAAAGAGCCCAGGAGAGGGAGAAAGGGAAAAGAAGTATAACTCACGTCGTAAGCTCCAGCTTTAATCTGCTGGTAGAGCTTGTGTTGGTCTTCATCCCAGAATGGAGGATAGCCAACCAGCAGAATGTAGAGAATCACACCTGACACACGAATACACACATCACTGACTTTCTCTTGTGTTTGTGCTTTCAGTCTTGATATTTGCAGAGGGTATGTGTGTGTGTGCATATGTGTGCATATTTGTGTGTGTGTGTTTACCACAGGCCCAGATGTCCACAGGTTTTCCATATGCCTCCTTCCTCAACACCTCAGGGGACAGATACCCTGGTGTCCCCGCAAAACCTGCACAACACAGACACATACTTGTATTAATCCTCTGCCATTACCAACAACTGTGTTCATAATGCATGATGAAGGTAATAAAAAGTCTCCTGTGGACTATATAAACTGTGGTTTTAATCCAATGATACAGCTAGCAGTCCTGGGTCGACCAGTGACATTTAAAGCAGCCTTTTGCAGAACTTTAAAGTCCCAATTAGGAATAACAAAAACACTGCCAATCCCCCCAGCTTAAAAAAGTTCAAACGTCCTTGTCGAAGTACAAAATGGCCTGTTAATTACACTACCTGATGGAAGCTTAAAGGGGCACTCAGTGTGCTGCGTTTCTTACTTAAAGGGCCAATATCTTGGAAAATGGTTCCAAACATGGAAACCATGCAGCAAAAACTGGTCGTTTTGAATTCACTGTTTCTCTGATGCCACAAAAACCAACTCACTTACATATATCCACCTATTCAGCCTACAGCAGTTTAGCCACCCATTCATACTGAAATTTTGAGTAATGCACAATACAAGACAGCCAATCAGAAAAGAGGCTATTTATCTAATAACAAAGGTACAGTAACAAAAACAGCTTTTTTAAATTATATGGGATAAAAATAGTCTGAAAAATGAATTAATGTGATTAAAAATGAATTATGACCATTTTGGAACATAAAACCACACAGATGTTGCAAGTGGAACCTAAAAGGAAAAAACAAAATTCGAGAAAAATGTAGGATATGGGCCCATTCAAAAGAAGCAGAATGCACTTCTTAACATATTTGACTGAATAACTATATAGCTAATGGCTAAATAGCTAAACAGCTAAACAAGAGACTGCATTGTGAGAGAACATGAACAACTAAGATGATTGATAAGCATTTTGAAAAAAACATATGTAATAATATACAGAAAACTTAGATTATGTGTCTACATCAAGACACATATAAAAGAAAGAGCAATGACAGCATTCGCTATGTTTGAAAACTAGCCTTTCCTCAATGTTAATGAGTCAATGAAGGCACCCTCGATGATGATTGGTCAGCTGAGGATGACATGTAACACTTTTTTGTTGCATTCAGCACAAAGGTGACACTTTTTCAACTTAAGTGTGCAGTTTAAAAACGCAAAGTGTGCTGCAAAGGCTTAAGGAGTGCTTTTTTCAGTTGCAGAGCATGTTTCACCATAGACAACAAATGCCTGAGAGAGTCTGAAAAGGCATCATCTGAATGCCCCCTTAGACAGCAGTTGCTAGCATTTAACAGGAATCAGCGGTAAGCGCTGCTTTAAAATGTCTGAATGGGAAAAATAAAGGTCACATAACTGCTAGGTGAACAGGAAATTAGTCAGTCTAGTGCTAGTAAATGTGACTTAAAAGAAAAATGGTGCTACAGTAGTGCTGCTGCAGCTACATACCAAACCATGCCTGCTGATCTCCCTGCACCTCGATGGCCAAGCCAAAATCGGCCAGCTTCACAGCGGCATTCTTACACTTGCTGGCCAGGAGCAGGTTCTCTGGCTGGATGAGGAGCAGGCACAACATTAGTACTTCCACAAGAACACCCAGCGCACACAGAAACACATACACTTACAGAGATATTGAACACACACTGCCAGGCACGCTATACATGCAAACATACGCACACAAACTGCTGAGAGCTAAATGCACATATGAGCAACACAGCAAAATCCACACACACACACACAATCTCACACCTTCCCTACGTTCATTTGTTAAGACAAACACACTCACATACACAGAGACACACTCCCAAGTCAAAACAGAGCACTGTTCTTAGCAGAAACTCGATTTAAACTATGGATAGTTTAGCTCATATATGGCTTTGACTGTATCACAGTTACACACACTGCATTGTGCAAAATCAGAGATCTCTCTTCATTTATTTGATTTCCAATCAAATCAGTCTTTACAAGTTATTTATTTTTCAGGAGACATTTCTCAGGAGGCTAGACATAAGTTAACCCACTTGCACAATTGAAGACAGGTTTATACTGTGTGGTAGTTGTCTCGATAATTCAGTCACGGGCAAAAATTGTCAACGAATTCTTGGATTGAGAGTTAAAATTCGTGGGCTTTGAACGTTTAATGTGCCAGCTTCATGACAATCAATTTAGTGCCCCTGGAACCAAAGACTCACAGTGTGAGACACTCTAAAAACAACCAATAAAGAGCAGCATGAAATCATGTGTATTTGTTTATGTGTGGATGAGAGGGAGAGAGATGATAAATAAAGGTAAAAACTTAACTGATGACGAGTTTTTGAATATTAGCTTATGTTATTAGTCTGGTCCAGCATTCAGTCGGGGACAGAAAAATTTGCTTACTGACCTCAAGTTCACTTTGTAAAATGAGCATTCCATGTTGATTTTTCCCCCAGCCAACAACAGCTCCAACCTCTCCTTCTTAGCCATCTTATATATGTGTGTTATCTATTTCAGACAAAGCATTATGATCACAACAAGGTTTTTTTTTATTGTATTGTCCAATTTTTCAGCAAAAAAAAGAAAGCATACAAAGAATGTTTTCTTTCTCTTTCATCGTAAATCTACTGCCAGAAAATCAGTCTGACATAGAGTTTGGCCAAGATTTTATCAGCAGCATCTCACATAATGTGCAATGCTGTAAATGTAAAAGGCTACTGTAATCGCACAGCGTAAAGTGGGCTTAAGTATATAAGTGTAAAATAAGTGAAAAAACTGGAGTTCAAAAAATTATTAAAAGATACAGAGAAAATGGGACTCCTAACAACCATGCAAGACCGGGCAGCCCACCAAAACTGTCCCCATCAGATAAACAGCACTTAAAGCTTTCATCTTTGAGAGAGAGGAGAAAATCAAGCTCCAGATCTGAATAAATCCACAGGTTTTACTATGGGCCTGAAAGAATGTGTAGCTGTCAAGAAGCCTTTACTGAGAAAAGGAAACAGAAGCTGCTGCTGTTGTCGGAACAATGGACTGACCACCCAGAGTGCAACCAACTTCTTAGACTGAACTTTGGAGGTGTGAAAAAATATCCCTGAAGATTTCTTTGAAAAAGTCTTCTGAAAAGAATGCTGTGGCAAAGAGTGGACACACTAAAAAGATAAAGGCAAAGAGTGGACACACTAAATACAAAATCATACTATGTCTAGTTGTTGAGGCTTCCGTGTCATGTTCTGTTAAATACAAGTTTTCTGCTTTTTCCTGATATTGAAAAATGAACAACTTAATGGCTGTTGTAACTGAAAATGAAACAAATGAAGGGAGATCTCTGACGCTTACACAGAACTGTATGTCAATTCATAAACACAACACAACAGATGTATTTCAAAACTAAAGGTGGTGAGCAGGTAGAAGTTTGTAATCACTGTAGGAAAGTCATGAAGGAAAGACTAACAGAAAATTGCAGCTTCACTGTTTTGTAGCTATATGACTCTTTTGAATGTGGGGTTTGGCAAAAGCATTGTTTGCCTGTGCTGATTTTAAATGTGTATGCGTTCTTCTCCCAGATGACCCAGATTTGCTAGCCTCATTACTCTCTGTCACTAATGATACTAAAATGTGCTATACTGTACAGGACGTCCTAATACTCTATACACAAACACACACAAACGCATGCGCCTGCTATCATATAACTGACAAAGATATTATATAACTCTACCAAAACCCTGACAAAGCACAAACGCCCTTCAGAAGAGACACCACTGCAGTTTAAACGTGACACATTTATATCTCTTTCCTGCATTGCAGGGGCTTGTATCACTGCAATCCACCTTCATCTAGCTCTCTCTCCCTCTCTCACTTCTCTTAGGCACTAGAGTATGCTCTGCATCACAAAAGAAGGGGCGAAATGTCCACCTCATTACAGCAGAAATGTGCAGAGATTCACCAGTTAAATCCGTTTCACCTGTAACCTGTTCTTTCACATCGCTCATCAGGACATACAAGATGAAGAACATCAGCAGAATCCCACCTACTATTAACTCTCTGTGATATCACTATGATCTTGTTCACTTCAACCTTTTATTGGCTCCGCAACTGTCTTTGTAACGTCACTCCTACCCTGTTTACTCCAAAGTTTCTAGCGACTCTGTAATTCTGTGTGACATCACTACCACCCTGTTCACTACAACACTCTATTGACTCAGTAATTCTCTTTGTGACATCATTAAAACCCTGTTCACTACAACATTCTATTGACTCAGTAATTCTCTTTGTGACATCACTACCACTCTTTTAACTTCAACTTTCTATTGACTTGTTAATTCTCTGTGACATCACTGCCTGACTGCTCACTTCTAACCTTCTACTGACTCTGTTATTCTCTTTGTGATGCCACTGCCTGACTGTTTACTGCAACCTTTTATTTTTTGTAACGTCACTCCTACCCTGTTTACTCCAAAGTTTCTAGCGACTCTGTAATTCTGTGTGACATCACTACCACCCTGTTTACTTCAACCTTTTACTGACTCTGTAATTCTCTTTGTGACATCACTACCACCCTGTTTACTTCAACCTTTTACTGACTCTGTAATTCTCTTTGTGACATCACTACCACCCTGTTCACTACAACATTCTATTGACTCAGTAATTCTCTGTGTGACATCACTACAACCCTGTTTACATCTATTTTCTATTGACTCAGTAATTCTCTTTGTGACATCACTACCACCCTGCTCACTACAACTTTCTATTGACTCAGTAATTGTCTGTGTGACATCAATACTACCCTGTTTACTTCAACTTTCTATTGACTTGTTAATTCTCTGTGACATCATTGCATGACTGGTCACTTCAAACCTTCTACTGACTCTGTAATGCTCTTTGTGACATCCCTGTTCATTTCAGTACCCAAAGCTAGAAATCAAGCTTCCCTAGCCTCCCCTTCTTTTAGCTCTTCTCAGCATTTTAGTCACCCAAGAGCAGTAATATCACACAGCTAGAGCTTAGTATTATTTCTGAGAGGTTAAACTTGCCAGCACTGCACAGTGTCAGAACACAGGGAACTAATCCAAGTCTTAAGGCTGGATTGTGGGAGGAATTTTGATGAACAGCAAAGCTGGAAAAATCTCCCTCACGCTCATCCTTAAACTGTGGAGTTTCTGTACTAACCTGCACCACTTTCCAATTTCCTTTTAAACCTACATGAACAGACCTACACAGAAAGACACACACAGAAAAACCCAGCTCACGGCTAAAAGACCATCAGCTATGCATGTGTGTGTGATAGGAGAACAGATCCTGCTGTGGCTGGAGTCGACAGAGCTCTCTATGTGGGGTGTATGTGCGTTCCAGAGCACTCTCATTGCGGTTGAGGCTGCTGCATTCCTGCTCTGGAAGAGTGGGAGTCGCAGACCTCCATTCAAAAGGGCACTCCAATTTAGGCAGACACTGATAGCGCGAAACCGGAGTGGCCCTGCACTCAAGGGAACCTACTAGCCTACTAAACAATAACGCAGCACACATGGCCAATAACGATAAATGGTGTTTAAAAAGGAATTCCACAGAAATGTAAAATTTCTACATGATTGAATCTCTGAGATGTAAACAAAGTAATTCAGAGAAATTTAATGTGAAATGCTTCATTCTCGAGAAACGTATTGATTTTACCCTGGATATTAAAAATATGTTCAGGCCAAAACTTCTCAAACTACTACTATATAACAACATCTCAGTTATTAGGTGGCATATTTATAAGAATTTCATGTAATAACTTTATATGAGGGAGCTTTATGTGAGAGTCATTAAACACATTGGACATCTGGTTCCTATCAACACCACTGGCAAGATTCTTTAGAAAGGTGTATTTTGCATTATGTCACTCTGAATGACTTAGTTTATAACATAATAATTGACCCACAAGACATTTAAAAAAATCAGAGGAATTCCACTTTAACATCTTCATCTTCTAACTGATATTATTGGCTTTTTTTGGCTGATGATGTTATCGCCATTCAACACTTTATTCTGGCTGACAATGATAACCAATATTTAACGGCTTGTTCTGGCCAATAACAATATCTAATATTTAACAGCTTGTTTTGGCTGATAACAATAACTGATATTTAATACCTAGTTCTGGCTGATAACGATAACCAATAGTTAACGAGTTGTTCTGGCTGATAATGCTAGCCGATACTAAACGCCGTGTTGTGGCTGATATCTTTATCACTGAGTGATTAGTTTGTAAAGGAATCTTTGAAAAGATTAAGCATTGTCAGCATTATGTGTGGGAGCCAAAATTTGGCCTTTATCGACTGCAATTGGTTGCACTGATACTACGAAATACTGCCATTACATATAGTGCCATGAGAATTTTTACTGCTGCTCGTCAACCCACACCACTACCGTGTTGCTAGGCACCATCTACTGACGCGCATGCACACGTCACTCAGCAGTGCACATGCATATCAGAAATAGGTCCGAATAGTCTGCATTATCAGAGAAGTCTCATTTAAGCAATCCATTCTCAGCATATTAGTCATTATTTTAAATCAGGTCCCACAGTTACATGACTGCAATAAGATATTCGCTTTCTTAGCACTAAATTTGCCATCTATCATGCTCTAATTCCACCCCACAGTGAATTCCTTTCACATTCAAGGTAAGTTATCAGAATTGTACTGAAGCACCACTGAAGGACATGAGTTTGCCAGTGTCCCTTTAAAAATAACTGTGTAGAGTTTAATTCTCGCAAAAGGTATTTTGGCACTTTGACTGTTTTTATTGCCATGACTTAATATACAAACCTCCAAGACTATTCTACTCTTTAAATGTATGTACTATTAGTGATCTTTCTGTAAGGCCTATATGCCTTCTTTCTTATGTTTTGCATCCCTAGTAAACTTAAGAGATTCACTTTGAGAAATTCATATCAAACAGGTAAAAGTCACCGACACATGCAGAACAAGACCACACACACATGCTCATTAAAGACAAGACAGCCAACAGCGCTCATCACGGCAAACAATGGAGTCTTTCAAAGAAGATTAACTAATCTTCCAAAACAAGTCCCTCCAGGCAGGATCCTACTGTGTCTGCAGCTGCGGCTGAACTCACACTTCAGACCACAAAGTTACTGCACAGTAAACTACTGCGAGTATGTATGACTCGCAGTCAGCTGAACAAACTGGTAATAGCTGTATTATCAAAACTGATCTGATGTGGAAAAGCATCAGGAATCCTGAGCGTCCACAGGATTAGTCATTTTACTTACAATCTCAACTGCAGTTCCACTTACTGTAATGCAGGGAAGCTGGTTAAGTTAACAAAAACTGTGCATTTTTCAGAAGTGTCAGCACGGGTCAAGAGGTCACAGAGGTGCACTCGAACCTGGGTGTGGTGACTGGTCTGCACCTGCTGACTACACTCGCTCCCTCTCAGCACTGTGCTTTATAAGAAATTACACTTCCATTAGAGTAAAGAGTGAAACTTTGTTATTTTGAAGGAGAGATAGAAATTTTTCCCATGTCACTAATGGGGTTCAGCAGTGCGCTCTCAGTGCTTAAGAGGTATTATGACGGTAGGAACATGTATACTGTATCTCCAAACGTTTGCAGACACTGACTCCTTCAGCTATTCTCTCAGAAATCAAGGGTATTTGTCTCCCCTTTATCCCCCTTTTGCTGCAGTTACAGCCTCTACTCTTGTGGACAGCCTTCAACACTAGATACTGGAACACTGCTGTCAGGATTTGATTGCATACAAGATCATTAGTGAGGTCGGGTACTGATGTAAGGTTGTGATATTGTGTGCAATATATCATAGACCAATCAAGCCCTCTAGCCAGCAATCAGTGACAACTGACAGATGAAGAGCTGCTCTCCTGGGCCACCACCACACCGTCCGAGCACAACAGAATAAAGGAGTTATAAAGGAGTAAATACAGACTGCGGGCTGCTCCTCACGATGACAGACAGAATATTCTCTAAACTGATTTTCTCTCTCCAGTAACCAGTTTCAGCACAACTGGTTCTGTGGTAACACCACATTACCCGCCCATCCGTCTTACTTTGGAGAAAATAAAATGCTTTCTGGTCAGAAACTTTGCTCTTTGTCAGAAGCTAACTTTGTTCTTGCTCTGGTTTGGTAGTTGTTGTTATACATCATATATTTACAATCCATAAATCACACTGTGTAATCATAATTAAAAAAAAAAAACTCTTCTAAACCTCAGTTCATGTTTGGTGAGGGAAGGTGTTCCATGTGTGGAAGTCTGCAGCACAGCTTTATCAGTTTAACAAGCTTGACCACAGTTAAAAAATAAAAATCTACATCAAATTGTTACAGAGTGCCAGACAACATAGTAGGCCTGATTCAGGACATGGACTAATGTTACGCATTAAAATAAAACAGATTGTGAAACAAATATAATTACTTGTGGGCATCTTAAAGCTGCAGATGCCATGTTTTCGAATGCTTAAATCGTCCAACTTGAGTGACAATGGTGCTAGATGGAAACTATGTGTGATTGCAGATACAACGGATGATTAGCTCTGAGGCACAAACACCACTCCAACACATCCTAAATGTACTGGATGTAGCTTTATCACTCCAGAGAATGCACTACTCAGCTCCACAGCCCAACACTGGGGGCTTTAAAACCTTCTAGATGGGCATGGTGACGTGAGGCTGCTCCGGAGTGTTCCATTCTAATGGTCAGTGCTCTTCTGTGGAGATTACACAAGCTGTGTGTGTGTAATTGAACACCTTCAACAATGGATGCACCTTAAAGTAGCTGAATTCACTAATCAGAAAGTGTCTAGATACTTTTGGACATATTATGTATAGTGTAATCATTATGAAGTCAGATTCTTGGCTACATAGTTACAATCAGCCAACATTTTTTACGAAAACTACTCTTCACTTCAGCTGCTGTAGTCTTACGTGACCTACTATGAAAGAGACTTCATCAATGTAGCTATCACTGAATGATCAGAACACTACAAGAAGATATTTCACACAGTAGGAGCAACATTTCTACATCCCACACGCCACACGCCATATCACCTGCACAATCCCAGACACACATACACATACACATACTTGTTCAAACACTACTCAGCAGACAATGACATGACACCTGTCACTCACCTTCAGGTCTCGGTGCACCACGCCCATTTGATGGCAGTGAAGCACCGCCTCCAGGATCTGCTGGATGCAATGACTGCATGCAAACACCAGGGGGCGCATGTTAGTCTGAGCAGCGCTACAGTCCCGTGCACAGGCCAGGGGTGGGGGAGGGGTGAAACTTGGGGCAGGGCAGGAAGGGTTGGGGGGGTATATCTCTATAGACACAAGCTCTTGCCTCCCCACTCCCCAAGAAGAGTGAGGAACACATCAGTGGCAAAACCTGCTTCAGCAAGCATAAGTGTCTATTAGGGTAGTATGAGACATTAACACCTATTACAGCAGTAATAGATAATGACCAATGGTGCAATGAGCACAGAGATATTTTCAGCTTCTGCTATGATGCTATATTTTTGGAGCTGGGCCCATAATTTGGTTAATGGATTGAAACCACTTGGCTAAAAATGATGTAAACCACTCAACAGCCTGGAGGCAGGGCTTTAGCTGTGAGAGACAACTCAAACAACAGACTAAATGGCTTAAATACAATGGTTTCCCGATATTCACAGTGATATAACAAGTACACTATTAGTGATAGCACAGGTCTTCAACTGCGGACCTTGAATCCAGTTTCCATGACGCTAGGAAGCCAGTTACATTTATTAGAACAACAATAACTTCATGGGATTACAAAATCTAGAGGGTCATTCTCACAAATTATTACAAACACCTGAGGGCCATAAGCATCAAGCAGATAAACAACATTCGTATTACTGAGCAGATCCACTCATACAATGAACTCAGTGTTCTATTTTAAAATGTTTTGGCTTTTTTTAACCCTAATTCTTACTACGGGAACATTTACACATAGGGGTTTCTCATTACCCATGTTTATCATTTTTAATTTTTTATTACTTAGAAAAAAGTTTTTGTGTTGAGTTTGTAGTACTTTTAACTGTTGAATCTCTTTACTTGAATGATTTCCATCTTTTAAATTCTTAGTCCGCCAACAGTATACAGATACAGAAAAGTTGTGAAAAAACAAAACAAAAAAATAATTTACAGATTTATCTCCAAACCTTACTGTGTTGCAGTAATGACAATCACTTAAATTAGAAAATGTTATTAAACTATAAAATTATTATTAAATTATTAAAACTTCATTTAAAATCAAGTAAATGTACTGTTAATTTAATTATATAACCAGGCATCACTGTTTGTATATCAACAATAAAAAATCAAAATACTTCAAGTTGGGTCCTAGTATTACTCATGTTCATAAGAATAACCCAGGGCTGGAAACCGGATTCAAGGTCTCTAGTTTGTGACCTATGAACTACAGAATAAGCTTGGTAATGCTGTTGACCTACGCTTCACCCACAAACGCATTCTTTTGTAGCTACTGAATGTCAAATTGTAGCGAAGTTTGCTTTAAGTCAGTAAACAACATTGTGTTAACAGTTTACAATGAGCTGAGCTTTGCACTCTACAGAGTTCTACACTACTGAGCTGTTGTTGCTATGTTAACAACTGTATTGTTGTACATAACTGAAACCAAACTGGTTGTTGCTGTTGCTAAAGTACATGACAAAAAAATAAATAAATAAATAAATCAATATTAACAACGATATTAACGTGACCTTTGACACGCATACAAAATAAATATAACTTGAAATTAATTATACACTGTAATTTAGGGGTAGGTGACATGGCAAAAATATATATCACAATACTCGATTCATTATATGCATCACAGTTTTATGTTTTTCTGAGGTTTGATAAATTGAAACAGATTAAAAAAGAACATTCAATCTGTTTGAAATAATCTGAAAGCTCTAGCGGCCGTTCACCTTGTGTGAAAGTTTCATGATGAATGGACCAACAGAAACGGTCCACAGTTATGAACACTATGAAACAAAGCATTTGTGGGTGGAGTTCTGACAGGTCAATTAGATTACTTCCCTTAATGATCAGCCAGAATTGCAAAAGAAACAACATAATGTTTCCTGATTTTAATGAAACAGGGCAGCTGTTTTGCCAATGACGTGCATTCAAGACATCAGGTATTATGACCAGAAATCCTACTAACTAAACCACAACCACAAAACTTCAAAACTAGCTCAAGACTGGACTTTGGTGTCTAGAATTCTCCAGCAGATTTTAAAAGCTTTAGCCGACTACACACATTCTGTGACAGAGTGATAGTGCTAGGCTGGGAGGTAAGGCAGTGTGTCTATGGAGAATTCTCTTTTTTTCTAATCTAGATTCTCTACCTCTCCATGTACAGATCTATAGGAACTACCTTCATCACAGAGTACAGCTGTACAGTTCAGTACAGAAATCCTATTAGCCAGGAATTCTATATTCAGTAGTAGAAGATGTACAGAACTGTGGTGTTACTAATACCACAATAAAAAAAGCACAGAACAGACCAAAAACAGATTCTTGCCCTCTATTGTGACAAATGCAGTCAGTTACAGAAGGAAACAGTGTTTAGGAGATGAAATCTGGCACAGGGGAACCACACAGGGAGATGGACACAAAACTATGCACAAGTTACCATATATCTATACAGGACTGGATAGATATATCAATACAAATACTGGAAAAACAATCATGTGATGTTCCTTTGCGTGTGTGTGTGTGTGTGTAAAAGAGATTACATGTGTGTGTGTGTGTGTGTGTGTGTGTGCATACGCGTGTGTGGGAGGCTGTTTACATGCTCACTGTGGGGCAGCAGCAACGCACACATGCATGCGAGCTGGTTGCTAGGAGACCGCAGCGTGTCGTCATGCGTCAGTGTAGAGGGTGCAGTAGTGCTGTGGGGTGCAGAGTGTAGGCTGGGGGGAGTGTGGAGGGGTTCAGGAGGGGCAAAGCTAGGCTATATCACAGTGCGGACGCTAATTCTAACAGGTTAGCTATGCTTGAATAGCTAATAGTTATATAACACACAACGAGGGGATCAATAAGGTCATGGCTACACCATACTCAGTGTACAGTGTGCCGGTACATAATGATCATCTATGCAGTGCAAAACTACAAAAAGTTCAGTTATAACAGTTAGTTCTGATGACACCGTTGAGAAGCACTCTATCCGTGCTGTTATTTGTAATAATTGTAATTTGTAATATTGTTCACAATAACACATATTAAGTATTATTCGCTGGGCACTGTAAGCAACAATTTACAATTCCACTGCAGCTAATGTTACTGGGGTCCACTTAAGTATATCGCTGCTGTCGGAACAAAACCTTGTACCTCCATTTTTGTCATTTTTCAGTTTTAGACATAATTTGAAACTGTCTGTTGCCCTTTACATTGTGTCTAAATTTCATAATGAATAAACCAAAATAAATTACCCAAAATTACTTCGAAAAGAAGTCTGGTTCCATTGACTTACATTAAAAGTAAAGTAGGCTTTTTCCTTCTCCTGTAAAGGTACCATTTTGGAGATACAAAGTTTTGTTCTGACAGCAGCGATATATAAAACAGAAAATGTAAACATTAAATAATTTCTTTAACATTTAACCTGCCAATAATTACCGACTGAGATGATCTGCAGCACTCACCTTCAATCAAATGCCAGCTTTTATGTTATTCACAAATTATCGTGGATACCATCACAGCGTTGAGAGATCATTTTTTTTTAGATAGGATGTGGCTCTGGTTTCACAAGACATGCTGTCACATTATGAGACACTTTACGGGATGTTTGTACAGCTGTTTTGGTGTGTTTCTGGTACTTTCACAGTTCATGGTAAAGGTTGCAATGCTATCTGTTCATACTTGATGTGCTAGTTAGAGGGTCCACCCTTACCCATCCCCCACCCCCCTCAAAAAAAAATTCTAATGGAAATCAATCAATGGCCATTAAAATATCAGAGAAAATTTTTCCATAGACAAAAATCCTATAAAAATATGAGCACCAACATTATCTGTATTAACAATGACAATGAGAAAAGTACATGTATGTACATTTACTGTCTTATACACTTAGTGCTTGTAATCCATGACAGAAGGCTAGATTATTATCCTGATAGCAAATTGTTATATCGACACATGCCTAGTTCAATGTAATGCAAACATCATGAATCCAAAATAGCACCTGAAATTGTGTTACACAGAGAAAGAAAGAGAGAGATAGAGACAGAGATGGAAAGAGAGTGAGAGAGAGTGAGAGCGAGAGAGAGAAAGAGAGAGAGATAAAGAGAGACAGAGGGGAAAAATGAGAGAAAGACCAACTAAAGAGAGAGTAAACGTGTGAATATAACTGTCTGTGTGTGTGTGTGTGTATATGTCTGTGTGTGTGTGTGTGTGTGTGTGTGTGTGTGTGTGTGTGTGTGTGTGTGTATAGGACTAACAGACTGTGCTATATCTGTGTGAGTGTGTGTGCTCTCTGATTTACTCTAACTGGCATGGCACTAAAGATCAGAGCAGTAAATTAGAGCACTGTCCCTTCCAATGAATAAATACTGCACAGGTCACACCACACCACCACTCTCTCTGTGACTGAGAGAGGGGTGAACAGAATGTGTAACCAACATTTAAGAGGTAGTTTTCATTGTTGAGATGGTACCAGTGAAGTACCATGTACGTTGCTATGCAGTCATGTGAGTGTACTATATAAACTACAAACAGCCGTATGAACATCTCCTAGTCAAATGATGTTTTACTGATTTTTCCTAGTGGATGCATCCTCTATGGAGAACAAACTGAAATATGTCATTCTTAGTGCACAATTTCTATTTGTTTGCTGAGATTAACAAATTGGAAAAAAAAACAAAAATATAAAATATAAAATGTGCCATAACTTATGCTCAGGCCACATTTTATGTGTATGTTATTTTTCTCCAATATGTTAAATTCAGCAAATAAACAGTAATTGTGCATCAAAATGTGCAAAAGTGTTTTCTCCATAGAGGATGTGTTCACTAAGAAAATCACAATCAACGAAAACATGTCATTTGACGAGCGGCCCCCAAAATTTTGCATACAACTGTTAATGTACGAATAGGAGCAACAACATATCTGGTATGAAACTGTGCCTCATGCATGTCAGCGTGTGAAGATGTCAAAGTGAGTATGAAGACATGAATA